ATTACCTGTGTCCAGGAGTGACACAGATGCCTTGTGGTTCTTAGTAATGGACTTGTTTGGAGTTTGAGTTCCTCAGGAGTTCCCTGAAGTATAAGTAAGTCTTGGACAGGGCCCTTCATGCCCTGATCTAGGGATGTACTGAAACAATGTACCAAGTTCTTCGCGGCAAACATTTTAAAGTAGTTAAAAAATGCTATTGTTCTTATTATTATACATTCAGAGGCAGATTGAGGTCTGAAGAATTAGTATTGGAGACTTGAGGGTTACTTAGAGCTGAGTAGGTTTCCTGACTTAGAGAAGCCATCTACTTGTGTTTCTGTTATGGCAGCTCTGTTGTTGTTATGTGCCATTGAGTTAGGATTGACTCATAGCTGACCCTCTAGTGGGTTTTCAGAGGCTATAAATTACATGGAAAGAGATTGCCTCACTTTCCTGAGCAGATTCTCACCGAGTTCCTTTGAACTCCTTACCACAGGGCCACCAGAGCCCATTGCACTAGATAACTAAGACGGAGGGTGGGGGGGATAAGAATTTGTGTGTCATTTTCTTCTTTTCAATCTACCACAGTTCATTAGCTTTGTGCAGTTGGCAAAGGGGTTAATAGCTCTTTACCCATCATTTAACTTAATCTGTACAGTGTCCCTACCAGACCTGTACCATTTTCAAATCTATTTCATAAATGAGGAAAAACTAGAGTTCAGAGAAGCTAAAGAACTTGTCACGCTCAGGGCCTGGACTCAGCTAGTGCAGTTCTCTGCCAGTGTACCATTGCAGCTGTTTTTAAATTGCCCTCAGCAAAATTTTACTTGCGAGGGGAAGGCCCTCTATGAGGTGGTTTGATTCCGTGACTGGGGTAATCAGGATGGGAGTGTCAGAGACAGTGCAATTGGCACAGGACAGAGCAGAGTTTAGGGCTGTTGTACATAGGGTCGCAAGTGACTCGATGGCACATAATAACAACAACAATGATATTACTGAGATTGTTTAATAGTTGCCACATCTGCTGAATCACCTTTCTTTGGAACGAACACAAATAGAAATTTCTTACAGTTAGCTGGCCAAGTGGCTGTCTATTAAATTGCTTAGCATGTTGTTATTGTTGGTTGCTAGCAAGTCGACTTTGACTCCCAGCGACCCTATGAACAACAGATCTGAGCCTTGCCTAACCTGTGTCATCCTTGCCATCACTGATAGACTTGAGCCCATTGTTACAGTCACTATGTCAAACCATCTTATTAAGGATCTTCTTCTCTCCCTCTGATCCTCCACATTTCCCAGCATTATATCTTTTTCCAAGGACTGGCCCTTCCTGACAACATGCCCACTGTAGATGAGATGAAGATGTAGATGCGATGAAGTTGTATCACCCTTGCCTCCAAGGAGCACCTTTCTTCCAAGACAGATGTGTTTGTTCTTTTGACAATCCATGGGCTAGTTGATTAGTACTTTCCCCAACACCACAACTCAAAGGCATCCAATCTGTGCTGGTGTTTTTTTCTTAGCATAGACAAGAAACAACAACTCATTGACATCTGCCAAGTCAGAACTAACTCAGAGCTGACTCTACAGTGGGTTTTCAGAGGCTGAAAATCACACGGGAAGAGACTGCTCATCTTTCTCCCCTGGAAGCAGCTGGGGAATTCAAATAGCTTGCCTTTGAGTTGGCAGTGCAACTCCTTAACCACCAGGCCACATAGATAAGTGAGAAAAAAGTGGAAGACCTTCAGTGAGACAGATTACGAATCATTAATGACCAACAAAGCCATTATAGTTAGGATGGCACAGAAACTATTTTGATCAACGTCATCCCCACAATCTCCCATTACACATGGAGTTGCTATGAGTTTGAATCAGCGTGAGGGCCCTTTACAACAACTCTGCTGACAGGCCTTTGAATCACACTAAGCCACTTCTGTCTTTCCTGTTCCCTTTCTGGGTAGCCCACTTCACCTTTGTTTACCTGACACCTCCTTTCTCTGCCTGATCTTTCACACTCTGGTTTGGGCTTCAGGAAGCTTCTGAGAACCTCAGCCTGGACCTCCTCTTCCTCAGGCTTCTCAATATACAGTCAACCCTCTTCCCCTGAAATTAACCACCCAGCAGAGCTCTCCTGATTGCCAAACTTGTAAAACTTCATTTTCTTTATCAGTAAAAATATTTGCATGCATTCCCTCAATATAGGATGTTGTTGCTGTTGTTAGGTGCTGTTAAATCTGTTCTGACTCATAGCCGCCTTGTGAACAACAGAATAAAACATGGCCTGTTCCTGAGTCATCTTCACACGTGTTAGGTTTGAGCCCATTGTTGCAGACATTCAGTCAGTCTATCTTATTTAGGGTCTTTTTCTCTCTTTGCCGACCCATTATTTTATCAACATGATGGCCAGAGAGTGTCCTTTCTCCAGGGATTGGCCAGCTACTCCTGATGGTATTGTCCAAATCATGTGAGACAAGTTTTCATCCTCACTTTTAATTCTTTATTTTTTAAATTCCGTGTGCGTACCATCAAATCAGATCTAACTGGCACAGGAGGAGATTGCCCCTCCTTCTCCAGCAGAGCATCTGGTGGATTTGAACCACATATCTCTGGGATTGCAGTGTAGCTTCTTGCCACTAGGCCACCAGAGCTCCCTTCACTTTTAATTCTTATAGCATTCTGGCTATACTTCTTCTAAGACAGATTTCTTTCTCTTTTTTTTTTTTTTCAGTCTGTAGTATTTTCAAGATTCTGGACCAACACCATAATCGAAAGGCATCAATTCTTCTTAAGTCTTCATTATTTATGGCTCAGTTTTCACATACATGACTCAAAACTCATTGCTGTCAAGTCAAAACTGACTCATAGTTAACACTCCAGTGAGTTTTCAGAGACTATAATCATATGGGAGGAGACTGCTCATCTCTCTCAGGATTTGAACCACCTGCCTTTAGGTTGGGAGTACAGCTCTTTACTCAATACACAAACAGAGCTCCAATGCATATATTGTGTTGTGTTGTGTTGTGTACCATTGAGTCAGAACCGACCTATAGCTGATGCTCCAGCAGGTTTTCAGAAGGCAGTAAATCACACAGGAGATTGTCCATTCTTCTCTCATGGAGCAGCTGGTGGAGTCAAACCATGTGCCTTGGGGTTTGCAGATCAGTTTCTTACCACTAGGCCACAATAACAACAAATGCATATAAGATAATTAAAAATGCAAGGGCACAACTGTCCAGAATAAGAGATTACTAGCAAAGTGGACTGGGGGTGGGAATTGAGCAATAATGAAATAATCTTTTTAAAGAGAAAAATGAACTGAGGAGGGGTAGGGAGGAAAAGGTGCAGCAATGAATGAATGGAAATCCAAGTTTTCTGTAAACTTCTGTTTAAATATAAATTAAAAATAATAATTAAAAAGAAAATGCAATGGCTTGGGTCAGGAGCACCTTAGTCTTCAAAGTGACATCTTTGCTCTTTAATACTTTAAAGAGGTTCTTATGAAGGCACTCAGAAGAGTAGCCCGTAGTTAGCCCATTGCTAATCCAAAGGCCAAGCTTCTCTAGCAGTTCAAGTCCATCAGCAGCTCTGTGGGAAAAAGAGATAAAGTTTCCTCCTGTTAAAATCAACAGCCTCAGAAACCCATGGAGGATTGCTACAACTCCCAAGGGCAGTGAGGGGTTTTTAACAGCAGATTTACTCAATATTGTTTGGTTTTTGACTGCTGCTTCAATAGGTGTTGCTTGTTGGTTCAAGTAAAATTAATCCTTGGAAACTTCAGTATTGTCTCCATTTCTCATGATATTGGCTATTATTGATCTGGTTGTGAGGATTTTTGGCTTTTTTCTGTTGAGGTATAATCTGTACTGAAGACTATAACGAAGTCTTTGATCTCATCAGGAATTGATTCAGGCTTCTTCATTTTCAGTAACTAAATTGTGTGTGTCAGATCCTTTCATCATATTTATACATTCTATATGCTGAGCAAATAATCTGAGAAGCTGGAGGATACGAAGACAAATGCAACAGCAGGATGAAGGAAGAGCCATTAACAGCACGCGATACATAGGTGCATATACAATATGTAGATGTATACACAATATATATACAATATGTAGATGTATATACAATATAGGGATATTTCTTTATAAACTGTATATACCTGCTAACTTCCCAAAACTATCACTCTCAGTTGCTCTTCAAACTTTGAACCAAAACTATGTTAAGGTGATATTGTAGTTGAAGACCAAACTAGCTTTAAAAAATAATATGATCTGTAAGGACTGAGCTCATAGGAGCTCTGGTGGTCTAATGGTAAGGAGTTGTGCTGCCAGTTCGAAGCCATGTAGTTCAAATCCACTGGTGGCGTCTTGGGAGGAAAATGGACGGTCTCCTCCTGGGCAATTTACAAGCTCTGGAAACCCTCTGGAGGGTCCTTTCTGACTAGATGGCACCTAACAACAACAACAACAATATATGAGACCAAACAATTAACAGTGACTTTAAAACAAAGATGAGACTGTAGTGGGGCAAGAATCTAGATTATGGAAAGTAGAACAAAAAGAAAAAAAAATAATGAAAATGGTCACACACTGTGATATAACTAATGTCATTGAACAACTTGTGTAGAAGCTGTTTGTGAAACCTAAATTGTTTAAAAAACCTTCACCAAAAACACAAAACAATATTTTCTTAAAGTTATATGCATGGTTCTGTCAATCTATTATTAAACAGTACAAAAGACAGAATCCCATCAAAGAGTTCCTTCCCACACCCCCACAGCCCACTGAGCTTGCTAGGTGTTTGAGAGCAACTTGCGGGTCAACTCTCCCTTCAGTGTCCTGGGCCTGGAGAGGCTGGGTGCCCATGGTGGGACTGGAGCACCCCCCACAGTACTGCGAGGCCTCCACAGCTTTGAGCCAGGCAGGTGGGGGTAGCTTGAGCCGGGATTAGCTGGAGGGGGACAGGACGCTGCTAGGGACACATCGTGACCAGAGAAGGGGTGCAGATCAAGCGAACGCATCATGCCGCTGCAGGATGATACCCTCCGAGAAGTGTGGGCTTCAGACAGGTTTGGAAGCCCCCGCACCCCGTGTCATCTCCTCCTGAACCCCGGGGAGAGGGGCACAGATTCAGGGGCTAGGTGGGGAACAGCAGGGAAGGAGGACAGAAACAGACTGATTCCTTTGACACTCTCAGTGGGCATGAGGAGGAAGGCCTGAGCCTGGAGACCCAGAAGCACCCCAAACAGGTATGTTCCCTCCTTGCAAAGATGCAGAAAGATCCTTCTCACCATTTATAAGACCACACAGGGCAAGGGATGCGAGGGGGGCAGATACCCTCAGCAGCATCAGGGGTTGGGTGTCCAAAGATTTCATGTGGGGGGAAAGGGATGCTTGGAGTGAGGGATGTGGGAAGGAGGAACTCGGGCTTTGAGGTTTGGGAGGTGGCCAGACATGTACCAGCGGGGTCTCTTCTGTCACTCCGTGGAGGAGGGGGCTGCAGTTCTCATGTGGATAATCTGCAGTTATTTCTGGCGGCTCAAAGGATTAGAGGTGGAAGGGCAGCCCCACAAGCCTCCCTTCCTTCCTTTCCCTCCTCCTGAACCCCTCCTCTGCAGCGAACAGGCCTGGGACAGAAGCCAAGAAAGAAGAAGGCAGACACCCCAGAGTCTCCCACGGGATCCAAGCCGCGAAGACGTGGGCAGGGAGCTGAGCTGGGGGGCACCTCCCAGGGTGAGGGCTGAGGGAGGGAGGCATGAGGGCAGGTGAGAGGTGTTGCCGAGACATGGACTCCATGCCAGGCCAGGAGGGATGGAAGCTGGGGAAACGGAGGGCTGAGAAGAGTAGCTGAGGGGAGGGGCGACTGACGAAGGCAGGCTTGGAGGTCAGGTGAACCCCCTCTCCCAGAGACGAGGGTCCCTACGCCTTGGGAAGGGGAGGAGGAAGGGAAGAACTCCGCCTCCTGGACCCCTCCTGGACCTTCCTGACCCTTCCTTCCCGGCTCAGCTGGGAAGAGGGGGAAGCGGCGGGAGGAGCCCGCCCCCAAGCCCACCCCGAACCCAACCGATGATGCCAGGCCACCGCACACACTCTACACCAAGTTCCTCAGGGACCCCCAAGCCAAGAAGCCCGACCCCCGGGAAACATTCCTGGTATCCCGGGCCCCAGGCGCAGAGGACGGTGAGAGAAGCCCTGTGGGAAGGGGTGGGGGGAAAGGGCGAAGCAGAGAGGAGGGGCTGAGCAGGGAGCCCAGAGACAGACCCCCCAGACAGACAGGCAGTTAGATAGGCAGTGGGAATGGCCTCCACGTCTCCAGCATTGGCTTTGCACTAGGCAAACACCTTGTGGGGCTGATTCTCTCATTGTTGTTGTATTCCATTTTATAGATGGGGAAACTGAGGCATGAAGCTAGTAATTAAGGATTTGCCTTAGACTACAGCTAGGAGACAGAGGTAGCCTAAATGGGTGTCACAGACAAGAGGAGGGTGTTCGTGGAGAAAACCAGGGGACTCAGGAGAGCATGTGATGAGGTGAGGGTCCAGAGAGAGGTGGGGCCTTCAGAGGAGGGTCTTTCCCCAGGAGCTGCCCTGGCGCCAGAATCCGTCCCCCCCCCGCCCCCCCGCCCCCCCCCTGCCAAAGCCAGCTCGTGAGAAATTTGAACACTCTAGGGTCACCTAATATGCCAGACTCCCTCCCTTCCCCTCATTTTGGAAGGGGCACCCCCTACCCCTGAAACTGCCACCACTGCCCAGCAATCAGGAGGGACTGTGCTCCCAGCCCCCTAATTGAGGGGTTTCTCTCTACAGAGGATGGAGGTGAGGAGGAAGAGGATGATGAGGAAGTGGAGGAGGAAAAGAAAGAGAAAATCCCTCTACGTCCCAAGAAGCCCCCTAAAGAGAAGGCCTCAGCAGACACCAAGGAGAGGAAAGCCAAGGCCCAGGGCCCAAAGGGTGGGTGTGGAGGCCAGAGGGAGTGTACAGCCTGGGGCCAGAGCAGGCTTGGAATTTCACTGACATAGGGATTTAGATACCAGGAAGTTACCCATTACTTTGGCCAAGAGTTTATTCCTCTGGTTTATTACTCCTGATGGCCCATTAAAACTTAGGTTAATATGTACTCTCCCCCACCCTTACAACCCTTTAGACCTAGGTTGTGCTAGAAGCCAGAACAGGGATTTTAGTTTTATCTGTGATTTTTGTTTTAGTTGTCTTTAAAACAAACAAACAAACCAGTGTGAATTATTGTTATGATTCTATATAAATTTCTAAGTGATGATAATGTAAGGAAAACGTTGACAGTTCAAACCCACCCAGTGGCTGTATGAGAGAAATTCGATCTCCTCTAAAGATCATGACCTAGAAAACCTTCTGGGACAGTTCCACTCTGCCATACAGGGACTCCATGAATCAAAAAGGGATCTCTGGGTGAGCTCTGGTGGCCTAGTGGCAAGAAGCTGCACTGCAATCTCAGAGGTACATGGTTCAAATCCACCAGCTGCTCTGCTGGAGAAGGAGGAACAATCTCCTCCTGTACCAGTGAGATCTGATTTGACGGTACACACAAAAAATAATGAAATAAAATATTTTTTTTAAAAAAAAGGGGGATCTCTGGTGGCCAAGCAGATAAAAGAGTTGTGCTTTCCTGTCTTAACCCATTTCCATCTTCATTTCACAAAATAATTTGCAAGTCTGTAGCCCTTCCTGAAGGAGAGCTCTCCTTCTCTCACTTCCCTTTGCTTTTCTGTGGCCACATGTTTTCTGTACCAATCATGTGTTGGGGGTGGGGGTAATGATCTTACCTCTGTTTTCAGAGTTTTGCTTATCTGTTTAACGCTCCTCTCTGATCTTAAGATTTGTGGAACAAATGCCATTTAATGCTGTGTGCTAATTTTAATTCCGCATCAGGTTTTAGAAATGGAGTAAAGATTAACTAAAAGCTCATCAAATTCGAAATTGTACTGAACAATATTGAAGATTAGTCTATAGTACCAGCAAATTTGCTACCTTTTTTTTTAACAGTAGGATGTACACATCTCAGTATAATAAATGTTTTTCAATTGTTTTGGAAAAAAAAAAGAGTTGTGCTTTCAACCCAGCGGCATGCAGTTTGGATTCACCTGCTGCTCCGTGGGAGAAAGATGGGCAGTCTCCTCCTGTGCAATTTACAGTCTCTGAAAACCCACAGGAGAGTCTGCTATGAGTAGGTTCTGACTCAACTGCAATGAGATGATGATGAAGACAAGAAGAGGAAGAAGAAGGAGGAGGAGAAGAAGAAGAAGAAGAAGAAGAAGAAGAGGAAGAAGAAGAAGAATCATCGGAATGGACTCAGTAGCACCTAACAACAGGAAAAATAAGACAGTGAATAAATACAGTGATGCCTCCCAGCCTGGGTACCTGGTTCTCCAGGTAGAGGCAGAGGCCACCTGTCCTGAAGGCGTAGGAACAGCTAGAGCCTCAGGCCTTGGAGGAAGCTGAGAACCTCATCTGTAGCTATGGCCTGAACAGATTTCCTGCATGAGACAGCGTGAGGGATGGAATTCAGAGGTCTGTAATTCATCCATCCATCCACTCATTCAGCAATTGCTTGCAAAGCTCCTTGTATTTGCCCTGCGCTTTTCTGGGCTCAGCATCGTTGGTGGCCCAGTGGCTAAGCCACTCAACTGGGAACTAACAGTTTGGCCATGTCAGCTCACCAGCCACTCTTGAAGAGAAGGATGTGACTGGCTGCACACACAAGAATTTACCGCCTTGGAAATCCTATAGGACAGTTCTACTCTGTCCTGTAGTGTTACCATCACTCAGAATTGAGTGACAATTCCCAGGCAACAGGTTTGGTTTGCTGTATTTTTCTTGGACCAGGGGTAGGGGGCAGTTTGGTGGCCAAGATGAGCAGAGGCCTTGAGTATCCCTGGAGACTAGAGGAAGAATGAAAGAGTTGGAAGGTGGTATTCACCTCCAACGGTCCTTTCTTTGTCTAACACCCATTCCCAGGGGACCTGGGGAGTCCTGTACCCTCACAGAAACCTCTTCGAATTAAGAAGAAGGAGGTTCCAGCAGGGGAAGTGACCAAGATAAAGAAGACAAAGAAAAAAGGTGAGCTTGGTCTGTGGAGGAGTAGAGGACTCTGAGGGTGAGAGATTGTGACCCTTTCCCCTAACACATGCAGGGTCTGGAGAGTCTGACAAGGACCCCTCAGAAAGCCCAGCTGGTGTGAAGAAGAAGATTCCAACAGCCTTGTTTCTGGTTGGAGAAGGTGGCCCAGTTAAGAAAGCTTGGAAGAAGAAAGGTGGGTGCAGTGGCCTCTGGGGTTCTAACATGATGGAGTCCTGGGGGTGGGGATCTCGGGGCCCACACATCATGTGATGCAGTGCAAGGTGAGAGGTATGTGAATTGTAAAACCAGAAGATTTGGGGACATATTAACCCCACCTTTAATAGTCATGTGACCATGAGCAGATGCCTTAGCCTTCCGGAGACTCTGAAAACAAGAACGTGGGTCTGACCGTCCCAGCGTTGTGGGTGTCCAAGTGACACAGGGGTGTTAAGAGTTCTCTGCAAACCACAGTGCTCCACCAGGGTAGGAAGTCAACAGACTTGTTCCCTTTTCAATGTTTAGCTGCTTCCAAAGGCCCAAAAGAGAAGAAAGAGGAAGAAGACGATGATAATGATGATGATGATGATGAAGAGGATGAGGCAGCCGCGGTGGTGACCAAGAACAGCAATCAGAAGGGCAAAGCGAAAGGAAAGAATAAAAAGGTAGGGACCCAGAAGTGAAGGATCTACACACATAGGTTCACCATGAATCCAGATCCACTCAAGGGCAACTAACGCAGTAATAAAAGTAGTTGCTAAACCTATCATAGGGAGCTCTGGTGGGTTTGTGGTAAGGAATCGTCCTGTCAAGGTGAAAGTATGTGGTTCAAATCCACCAGCTACTCTGTGGGAGAAAGATGGACAATCTCCTCCTGTGCAATTAACTGCCCCTGAAACTCTGCTAGAGAGTCAGCTATGGATCAGTTCTGACTCTGGTACACAATACACCACTGCTCCATGGGGGAAAGATGAGCATCTTTTCCCATGCAATCAACTGCCTCTAAAAGCCTGCTGGAGGGTTAACTATGAGCCAGTTCCAACTTGACAGCACACAACAACAACAACAACAACAAACCCTATTATAATTTCTGTAGCGCTTACTATGCCCTCTCAAACTCATTGCCTTCGGCTTCAGCAACCCCTCAGATGGTGTCTACATGTGGAAAAGTCTTTCTGAAAGCTCTGGATCTGATGGGAGCTCAACTCATTTCTACTGAGTTGGAATTGGTTTTCAGGAGAGACTGCTCCTCTTTCTCCCACCGAGCCCCTAGGGGATTCAGCTTCTTTAGGTTAGAAGCACAACTTGGCTACAGACTGTGCCACCAGAACGCCTCATACTGTGATAACTTAGGCAAGTGACCCAACCTCTCTGAGCCTCGATTTCTTCATCTGTAAAATGTAGACAGCTACTTATTAAGTGAGTTGGCCGAGGATTTGGTAAGTTAATATTTGCAAAGTATTTAGGACTAAAGCTGGCCTACTGAGAGACTTTATGAAAATATTTCTTAAATATACAAATTGAGTAAAATCTTTCCCAGGTGTCCACCCCTCCCCCTACCTACTCCTCAGAGTAAAACAATCAAAAACAAAACTGAGTCACAACATAGCTAAAACTTAACAAAAATGGGATATAGTTAGTGGTAGAGTTAGGACTGGCTCCAGAGCCTGGTCTCTTAGTCACAAGCCACACAAAATAAAAATACATTTTAAAAAGCCCTCACAAAATAATAATACAGCACAAAGCTCCCACACCTCCTCGCAAGGCCATGCTGCAGTGGCTGCTGGGAAGGCGTGAGGTGGTGGACGCCCAGCCTCAGGAGCCTGGCTGCCACAGTCCTCATGCCAGTCATCCTTTCTGTTCTCCCCTCCAGCAGAAACCGGTGAGTTGTCCTACCTGACCTGCCTATCGTCCAGCATGGGAGACCAGCTGGCTTTCTGGGGCTGATGCACCCTCTGCCCTGTCCAGAAAGAAGAGAGGGCCCCATCCCCACCCGTGGAGGTAGATGAACCTGCAGAGTTTGTCCTGCGGCCAGCACCACAGGGACGCACAGTGCGCTGCCGGTTGACCCGGGACAAGAAAGGCATGGATCGGGGCCTGTATCCCTCCTATTTTCTGCATCTGGACACTGAGAAGAAGGTGAGTAGGGGAGAATGACGGCCTGGGCTGAGGGGCTGCAAGTCAAACAGATCTTCTCTGTCCCTCCAGCACCCCTTCATCCGCCTCCTCTTCTCTTCCCTCCTCTCATCTGTCTCCCCTCCCCAGGTGTTCCTCTTGGCTGGCAGAAAACGGAAACGGAGCAAAACGGCCAATTACCTCATCTCAAGTGACCCTACCAATCTGTCCAGAGGAGGGGAGAATTTCATTGGGAAACTGAGGTGGGGCTGGGAAACTTGGGTCATCCATAGGGCCCTAAGCAGACAACTTTGCCCCCTGTGCTTGGAACTGTGGCCACCAAGTTAGACACTCGGGAAATATTCCCTAGCCCAGGCCTCCTCAGGGACAGCTGGTCCACCAAGCTGCTGGTGATGCTGACACCACAGATCCAAGGACTTCACTTGGAGCAGAGCCTAAGTGTCATGAGGGCATTCTTCATAGTAGAGCAACTAGCACAGAGTAGCACTCAGCATTTACTGGGCTAATAAATGAATATTGAGCACAGCAGTGAAGCACTCACCTTGCTAACCTAACCAGGAGGTCTGTGGTTTGAGCCTTCTCAGTGGTTCCGTAGGGGAGCTCTGGGGGTGCAGTCTGTAGAAAGCTACACTAACCAAAGGTCATGCTCCTCTGGTGATGTGACCCCACCAACTGCTCCACAGGAGCAAGATGGAATCTCCTCTCCTGTGTGAGCCTTGGAAACCCACTAGAGAGTCAGTTATGAGTCAGCACCGACCCAACAGCAATGAGGGGCAGGTTGCCATAAAAGAAAAAGAACTAGTAATTTGTGCCCCAAACCTTTGCTCTAGAGTTAGTTCTTAGTCCCAACACTTCAGGACAGAGTAGAAATGCCCTGTTGGATTTCCAAGGCTGTAGTGGTAGCTCTGGTGGCCTAGTGGCAAGAAGCTGCACTGCAATCCTGAGGGCCCATGGTTTGAGGCCCCAGCTGCTCCATGGGAGATGGATGGGCTGTCTCCTCCCATGTAATTAGCTGCCTCTGAAAACCCACCAGAGGTTCAGCTATAGGTCAGTTCTGACTCTACAGTACACAACAACAATCTTTATTGAAGCAGCCTACTGTATCTTTCTGCTAAGGAGCAGTTGATAAGTTTGAACCACCAACTTTTTTACTTGCAGCCAAACTCTTAACCACTGCACCACAAGTATACCACCCTAAAAAACTCTATGGGGCACTTAAACTCTGTCCATAAGGTTACTCTGAGTCAAAAATTGACAGCACTTCTGGGTTAGGCATAGTTCTAACTAACTTCCAAATATGAATTCATGTTGTCCTCTTGCCAACCAAGTGAAGTAGATAATGTTATTATGCTCATTTTACAGGTGGGGAGACTGAGGCTCAGAGAAACTAGTCACCTAGTCAGTAAGAGATAAAACTAAGAGTTGAACATTGATCAGTTTCTTTCTAGATCCAGAGCTTTCAAAACAACCTTCTAAACATCCCAGGAACTAAATTGCTCCAAGACACCCTCCCCTTTGACTTAGGAGTACTTTGATGCCAAAGTGCTTGGCTGTGGGAAGGTCTTGGAATAGGCATGTAATCTCCCGCCCTGGTTGCAGATCTAACCTTCTGGGGAATCGCTTCACTGTCTTTGACAATGGAAAGAATCCCCACCGTGGAGGAGGGGGCGCCGACGTGGGGAGCCTGCGTCAGGAGCTGGCTGCAGTGATCTATGTGAGGACTCCCCCTGGCCCCTACCCAAGCCAAGCCGCTCCTCTTGAAAGGGCCTACCTAATGGGCATCTTCCTCCCAGGAAACCAACGTGCTGGGCTTCCGGGGTCCACGGCGTATGACCATCATCATTCCAGGCATGAGCTCGGACAATGAGAGGGTGCCCATCCGACCCCGAAACGTGAGCCCTGTACCTCCCTGATCTCTGTCCTGGAGGGTCCTGCTCCTATGTGACTTCACACTGGGAGGGCTGAGGGGCTTAGCTTGCCCAATACATAACCCCACTGAGCATGCTCCTCACCTATACTCACAATGCATACTCCCAGAGATCCTAGTATCAGTATCAACCCATTGAATGAATGCAGGGGTTTTGTCATTGCATTCAGTAAGACAACCACAGCATTCCCCCACCACCACCACTATATCAAATTATTAATTCATGTATTCATCCCACATACATTATATGCCATGTGAAAGGCATCAGTAAGCAAAATAAGATCTCTGCCCACAAGGAGCCAGCAATCTAATGGTGAGAGACAGGTAGCAGACAACAACTGCAACAGAAAATAAATTATGGGGAATGTTAGAAGTGCTGTAGAGAAACAGAAACAAGAAAAGGGTGATGGGTGCTTGCTTTGACAGCATATACACTAAAATTGGAAAGATACAGAGAAGATTAGCATGGCCCCTGCACAAGGATGACATGCAAATTTGTGAAATATTCCACCTATTTTTTAAAAATGGGTAATGGGAAAAGAGTATGTGTGTACTTTTCAATATTTAGTATAGTGGTCAGAGTGAACCTCACAAGACAGTGACATGAGTAAAGCCTTGGAGGAAATGAGGGAGTGAGCCTGCAGGTATCTGGAGGAAAAGCCTCCAGGCTGAAGGAACAACCAGTGCAAAGGCCTTGAGGCAGGAAGATGCCTGATGGGCTTGAAGGACAGCGAAGTGACCAATGAAGAATGAGTTAGATGAGGGTGGAGAGGTAAAGGTAAGGAAAAGACCAGGCTTTTATAACCATAGTTTTACTTTAAAGGAAATAGGGCGCTATCATGCTAAATAGATTGCAGCAGGGCTTCCAGACTAAAACAAACAAGGAAGAAAGGCTTGGTGATCTACTTTGAAAATCAACTCGTAGGGGAGCTCTGGTGGCCTAGTGGCAAGAAGCTGCACTGCAATCCCAGAGGTGCCTGGTTCAAATCCACCAGATGCTCTGCCGAGAAAGGAGGGACAAATCTCCTCCTGTACCAGTCAGATCTGATTTGACGGTACACACAAAAAAATAATAATAAAATAAAAAAAAAAGAAAAGAAAATCAACATGTGAGAATGCCATGGGTCCTAATGGTCTGATCCACTTCCTGTCTCAGGGATGTCCTGGTGCAGTACTAGGCAGCGTTCATTCAGTTGTGCACCGGGTTGCCTTGAGTCAGGAGTTAACTCAGTATGTGTGAAAATGGAAAAACAAAACCTCATTGTTGTCGAGTTGGAACCAACTCATAGTTGACCTTGCATTGGGTTTCTGAGGCTATAAACTGCATGGGAGGAGATTGTCCATCTTTCTCCTGTAGAGCAGCTGGTGGATTCAAACCTCCAAAGAGAGGCACAATCTTTGGGTTAGCAGAACTCCCTAACAACTGCGCCGCCAGATCTCTCTCGTGTGAGTGAAATGCAGGGTGAAATGGAGAGAGGCCTTGAGCAGAGGTGGCCTCCTACAGATGTCAGCACTGCAGGTCAGCCGAGCCAGGATGTCACAGACTGAAAGACTTGCATGATCTGTACTCACAGGAGATCAAGATTACCAATTTACAATGAAAAACTATTCCTGCCAGTGGATCAGTCACTAATCCCTGATGTCAAGTTGATTCTGACTCTTGGTAACCTCCATCAGGTTTCCAGCTCTATGAATCTTTACAGGAGGCTGCCTCATCTTTCTCTCCTGGAGCAGCTGGTAGATTCTAACTGCTAAACTTGGGGTTGACAGCCTGACATGTAACACACATACCACCAGGGCTGCTGTCCTACTGGAAAGTCACATCATGAAGAGAGGCCCAGCTGAGCCCTTTTGACAATTGTGTAGGAAGTGCTGGCTGCAAGGGACAGTCCCTTCAGCCAGATGCCACTTACATGACATGACCAAGTTTCCATTCCCTCACCCTCTGCTTTGGCATCCCCCAGACCATAAAGCCCTGTCTTCACGGATTCCATCCCACTGTATCTGCAGTAAACACACAAATCTCCTCGAAGCCGCACCTCCGCTGTCGCTTTGCCTTAACAAGAACTGTCCATTGCAGTTTATCATCCTTTACCTCACAGTTCTACAAACCATTGTCACATTCTATAATCTATTATCACAAGGGCAATGGTGGTTCAATGGTACAATTCCCATCTTCTATGCAGGAGACTTGGCTTCAATTTCTGGCCAGTGTTCCTCACGCACACCTGTCTGTCAGCAGAGGTTTGGTTATTCCTGTGATGTTGAACAGGGATCTCTGGTGGCATAGTTCGTAGGGAGGTGCATTGCTAACCCAAAGGCAGAGCCTCTCTGGCAATTCAAATCCACCAGCCGCTCCACAGGAAAAAGACAGGCAGTGTCTTCTCGTGTGATATACAGTCTTCTGAAAACCCACTGGAGGGTCAGTGATGAATTGATTCCAACTTGATGGCAATGAGTTTTAATGAGATGATGCTGAACAGGTTTCAGTGGAGCTTCCAGACTAAGATTAGGAAGAAAGGTCTGGCGATTTCTTTCCAAAGAGCAGCCACCGAAAACCCTTAGATCACAATGGTTAGTCGGCAAAAGTTCATAGGAATGATCTGCTCTCATTGAGTAGCCGAGTTGGGCATCTATGGCAGCCAATAATAGCCATTTGTTTAAATGTGCACTTTGTGCCAGACACTGCAGATCTACATCAACCCAACTGTTTAACATCAAAATAATAACATTTACTAAGCCACTGCTCTTTATCAGGAAGTGCTCTTAACAACACTTTATGCATTATTATTATTTAATCTTTGTAACACTTTGTTGTGGGAAAAATACAGAATTTTCATAAAATACTGTTCCTGCCCTTTGAACATCCAGTGCTGTCCATTACAACGTAGCAGGTAGGAGCTCTGAGCTGGAATGTCTAACTCTGCAATCAGGAAGGTCTCTTGAAGGCGATGATCTTAATGGACCCAAGGCGAGAGGATATCTCAAAAGCACTATCAGAGAAACCCTTCTCCCTCCTTTTAGAAGCTCTTGCAGGAACACTGTGTTCACCGTTCTTTACCTGTTCATCTCTCCAAGCTCAATTCTGAGTTCTTTGCAGATCTTAGAATGTATGTTATCATCTAGTAGCATCCAGCCACTTCTTATGGCCCCTTGAGGGCTGATGGCACAGAGCACCTACTGTGTGCCAGATGCCACCACATGGCAGAGGCAACCTTCTATTTCCTCACCCTCCCATTTGGCATCCCACAGACTATAAAGCCTCATCTTCACAGATGTTCATCCCACTCACCAGGCTCGCACACAGAGGCTCACTGCAGGCCCTTCCCCCAGTGGGTCCTAAGCTGTTGAGCCACCTTTAATTGTCCTTTTCATACCCACTCACCTGGGCACCCCAGGCCAGCGACGGGCTGCTGGTGCGCTGGCAAAACAAGACCCTGGAGAGTCTCATTGAGCTGCACAACAAGCCACCTGTCTGGAATGAGGAAAGTGGCTCCTACACTCTCAACTTCCAAGGTCGTGTAACACAGGCCTCGGTCAAGAACTTCCAGATTGTCCACGCTGATGACCGTGAGTATCTAAAAGCCCCAAGCAAGCTCATCTGCCTCCCCTAGGACCCTGACTCTCACTCAGGTTTCCCACCACCCTCTCTCTCTCCCTCTCTTTCTGTCTTTCACACACCTACACACAAATGTAGTGATGTCCTTTATGCCTGCAGCTGGAATATCCAGCAAGGTCACCCTCTCCTCCACAAACACTGGTACTGTGTGCCCAGGGACCTCAGATGTTTCTAGCAGATTTCAGGACACATTTCTATGTTCTCACTGTAGCACTGAGGAAACCTGGGTGGTGTCGTCTGTATGGAGTTGCACTGTTAACCTAAAGGATGTGGTTTGAATCCACCAGTGGACTTGCAGGAGAAAGATAAGCAGTCTCCTCTCATGCAATTTATAGCCTCAGAAACCCAACAGAGGGTTGGTCCACTATGATTTGATTCCAAATCGATAGTAATCAGACACTCCAGCACTGACCAGAGATCTAGGTAGATAGTAGGGTAATCTGGGCAAGATTATGTTGAAGAAAAGGTTGAGCTACTAGAATTTTAAAACAAATAACACCAGCCATTCATTTCCTAGCATGTTATTTGGGGAAAATTTCCCATCAAGGACCTTTTCCCCCTCCTCCATCAAAGACCTCTTTAAAGAGCAAGGATATCAGTTTAAAGACTAAAGTGCAAGACTAAAGTGCACCTAATCCAAGCCATGGTGTTTTCAATTGCTTCCTATGCATCTGACACTTAGGCAAGGAATAAGACAAAAGAAGCAGTGCTTTTTGAATTGTAATGTTGGAGAAGAGTATTGAATGTCCCATAGACTGACAAAAGAACAAACAAATCTGTCTTGGAGGGAAGTGCAGCCAGGGTGCCCCTTAGAAGTTGGTGAAACTTCACCTCACATACTCTGGGCATGTTGTTGGGTGGGGCAAGTCCTCAGAAAAAGACATTATGCTGGGAAAGATCAACAAAGAGACCTCCTCCAATGAGATGATTGGCACGGTGACTGTATTGACAATGGGTTTAAGACTGACATTGAGCTTGACATTGAAATTGAAAGAGATATGCTAAGAAAGGAGAGATACTACACTAAGAAAGGTAGAGGGTAAGCAAAAAAGAGGAAGCCTCAATGAAATGGATCGACAGTAACTAAGACTGACAACGGGCTTGAGCATGGTGGAGACTGTGATGATTGCACAGGATAGGGCAAGGCTCAGATCTGTTGCTTATAGGGTTGCTTGTAGTTGACAGCACCTACCAGCAATACTCAACTCTTCCTGGTCCAAGACAGCTGAGGCTCAAAGAAGGCAGCAGCTTGCCCAATGTCTCTTAGCTCCTCTAAGTATTACTACAGCTTCAATTTATTTCACACACTCACCTCCTGTCTGGAATGTGTTTTCTATTCTAGGCACCTAACTCTAGATTTTACAGATATGGAATCACTTAAACATGGTGGGTAGATCCTCTGCAAGGAAGGTATTATTATTATTATTATTATTATTATTATTATTGTGCCTATTTGATAGATAAAGTATGGAGGGGTTATGTTACTTGCCTAAGGGCACACAGTAAGAGAGCTGGGATGAGCAGTCTCCTCTCACAAAGACTAAAGCCTCAAGAGACCTGACAATTGTTACTGACTCAACAACAGCGGTTTGGGTTTAGTTTGGCTTTAGTACCTGAGCTCTTAGGTGCCTTTTAGAGCTGAGAATATTGGTCAGGCATTTCTGAGTATTTACTCTGCCTTCTATCAAGAAAGGTCAAACACCAGACCTCTAGAAGTTCAGAAAATAAAATGTACCTGAAACACAATGAAGGAAAAATGTCTCTGTTACAAGCCTGGTGGTGAGGTCCCCACTGGATGAGAAAGTTGAAGAGATAAAAGGTTATCTCCCAAGGGATTCTAGGCTCACAGGGTTGGGCTAGCACTAATTAAATGGTCTGTTCTATCTAAAAGGCTGTGTCAGTCACCTGTCTTATGGCCTTGGAAAACTGCTCTCCAGATCACGTTTCTGGTGGAGCCTGGTCTGTAGAGGTTGGGAGGTATTTTTAGCAGCTTTCTGTCATTATGGATGCTGGGGGGAGGTGTTGGGGTGTGGTTGGGCTAGAAATGAAATGGGAGCTGAGTGGGGCCACTGGCTTAAGAAAGGAATAGGCAGCTATCCGAGGGATTGAATCTTAGAGAGCTAAGTCTTGGGGCTGGTAATAAGAAGGACATGGAATGGGGCCAGAATAAAACAATAAAGTTCTGGGCTTAGGGAAGTTTGACCAAGTCCTAAAGAAAAACAACTCACTGCTGACCAGTGAGTTCCAACTCATAGTGACTCTCCAGTCAGTTTCCCAGGCAACAGAGCTTTCTGGGAAGTGATTCCCCATCTTTGTCCCAAGAGGTGGGAAACCTCCCCCCACCCTCTCCAACAGAGCATAACGTAGCAGGTTGGTACCCAATACCTTATACTCTATGCCACTAGGGAGCTCTAGTGGCATAATGCCTAATATGTTGGCTGGCAACCTGAAGGTCAGAGGTTGAAACCCACAGCCACTCTGTGGAAAATGATAGGCAGTGTCCTGTTATAAAGATTTACAGCTTTGAAACCAATGGAGGGTCACCATGAGTCATAGCCTATGAGTTTGGGTTTGAGTTGGTTCTATTTCATTAAGGGAGCTCTGGTGGCTTAGTGGTAAAGAGTTGTGCTGCCTTTGAATCCACCCGCTGCTGTGCGGAGGGAAAAGCGGGACAGTCGCCTCTTGTGATTTACTGCCTCTCAAAACCTGCTGGAGGGTCAGCTATGAGTAGGCTCTGACTGGACAGTCCAACTGGTGGCATAGTCCGGAGTTGCAGAGCTATCTCAAAGGCTTCAACTCTGCCAGTCTGGCTCTGTGGGAGAAAACAGGACATCTGCTCCAGTGTCATTTACATACAGTCTTACAAACCCATTGGAGGGTCAGCAATAAGTGGCAGTTCCAAGACAGCAGTAAGAAAGGTCTTTTAAAAAACAACCCAAAATCTCCAACAAACCTACAGCTCATCACCATCAAGTCTTACTGACTCATAGCAGATTCTCCAACGGGTTTATAGAGGCTGTAAACTGAAGGGGAGATCACCCATCTTTCTCCCACAGACCACTGGTGGATTCGAACCGCCAGTGGTGCAAGCCAGAGCTCTCTAAATAAGAGTGATACTTCGCCTCTTCTCCATATTTCCTTTCAAGAAGGAAAGTTCGTCCCTTTTGGGGTGTAACTTTCTAATAAATCTTTATTTTTACCTTTTTTAAAAAGTGATGCTTCATTAAATGTTACATGCACGACCTTGTCTTTAGTTGATGTTAATGGTGCAGGTAGGACTGGGATACAGGACCAGGGGAGGATGAGTGGTACCTGAGAGTTGGGGTACCAATCCAAGAGAAAGAGACTTCTCTAAATATCGAGGGCACTGCCTGTCAAACGGGAGTTCCACAAAGTCTTGGTCGCTCCCCACCCGTTTGTGCCTGCAGCTGACTACATCGTGTTGCAGTTTGGCCGCGTGGCCGAGGACGCCTTCACCCTGGACTACCGGTATCCGCTGTGTGCCCTGCAGGCCTTTGCTATAGCCCTCTCCAGCTTCGACGGGAAGCTGGCCTGCGAGTGACACCAGCACCCGCTCTGCGCCCCCAGAACTCTCCAGCGTGGAGGAAATAATTCTGTGCGGAACAAAGCTTCCACGGAAGACTCTTCTCTGGTCCAGGACCTGACCTTCCCTGACTCCTGGTAACCTCCGTCCATTCCCCGGGAGAAGCGGGGAAGGCGTGCAAACCACGAGTCAGATAGAGATGAAGAACATCTGGAGTGGGGCTAGCACATCTGGTCACGGAGCCGGCCCGCCCCGCCCCTGCTCCCCTCCTGTGCTCCAGTCACTTCCTGTCCGGGAGCAGTAGTCCGTGTTGTTTTAACCCCCTGTGGACCGCGCCAGGGCTCCAAGGACCCGGGAAGGCTGGGAGGAGGGTCGATGTTGGGGGATGAAGGCTGGGTACTGCGTCCCCAATAAAGCCGCGTAGGCCAAACAGCTTGTACTTCTTCAGGGCGTACTGCAAGTGTGGGATGCGAGGCCCGGGGGTGCGGGAGGCCTCCCAGAGGGCGCAGGAGGGGCTGGGGGGCACAGGAGAGGTTCAGGGGGGCAGGGGGCCCGGGGATGCGGGAGGCGCCCAGAAGGTGCAGGCGGGGCCTGGAGGGCACAGGAGGGGTCCGGGGGGGACGCAGGAGGGAGCCTGGGGGCCGGGAGCCTGGGCACAGGAGGGGTGGGGGGCAGGGCAGGAGGCTCAGGCACAAGAGAGGTCCTGGGGTACGGGGGAGAGGGTGGAGAGCGAACCGTTGCCCTCGCAGCTCTTGCCCTGTCCCCGGGTGCTCCCGCGCACTCGGCGGGTCCTACCGAAACTCAACTGGTGCAGTGTCGAGACGCCCCCCCAGGGCCCCAGGCTCAGAAAGAGGCCCCAGAAGTCCGAGAAAAGGGGGAAAGGGAAATTCGAGAAACAAGCCACTCGGGGAGAACCAGACAAACCGGGTCCGGGCGAGGCGAGCGCAGTCGCCAGGGCGGGGCCGGGTCTGGGGCCCCGCGAGTGGGGGACAGGCTGCAGGGGGGCGGGGAGCGGGTGCCCCACCCCGGCGGCTCGCGCCCGAGGGAGGAGGGGGCCGAACCCCGAGGTCCGCGCGCACCGGCTCGGCCGGGCAGCTTGTGACGCGGCACCCCGGCCCCGGCACGGACGGGAGCCCAGCCCAGGGGCGGGAGCTCCGCTGTCGGCCCCGCCCCAGCCCGAGTCCCGAAGCCGGCAGGGCCCCTGCGCACAGGGGTCCAAGACCTGGCGCTCACGGGGAGGCTGGGAGCATCGCTGGGAGAAAGAGGGGCGCTGCCGTCTGCGGAAGGCGGGGCGTGGCGGGAGGTCGCGAGGCCGTAGGTCAGGCACCCGAGCGCCGCTAGCGGCGGGGCAGAGGGTTGAGGGCCGAGGGGTGTGGTCTACGTAGCCCCGCCTTCCCTGCAGGTGCCCCCCCCCCCCCGAGCGCCCCGCCCCCTCCTTCCCCGCAGCCCCCGCCCCCGCCCCGGCTCTTCAACACAAACTTTCCGTCCCGCTCGCTCCCACCTCCGCGCCCGGCACCTCCCGCTCCCGCCCGGTTCATTCCGCACATTCCGGCCAGCCCCTTCCCCAGGACCCCCCTCCCCGAGACCCCCCTGCCTGACCCCCCTCAGGCCCGGCGGAGCGGCCCGGCCAGAGCGCCCCCGCCAGCTCGGACCAGGTAAGCCGGGAGGGCGCGGGGAGGAGGCCCTGCTGGGAGAAGTTTGGTTGGTCGGCTCTGGATAGTAGGGAACAGTTCAGGGGGGCTGAAGCCCCCAGCTATTGTCCAGTCCGAGCTTCGGATCTGGGTGCCGAGAAGTTTAGAGAAGGGGGGAGAACTCTCTCCGGGAAGCCCCGCCCACTACCACCCCGAGATCGGGCGAGTTGGTCCCGGGAGGTAGGGAACCCTGAGAGTGTGTCCCCAGTGCCATCTCCTGCCCCGCTGTCCTTGCCTGGGGTATCAGGGCGAGATTCTGGGAGCAGAGCACTTGGGGGGGGGGTCTGCCACCGGGGAGCTCATACCCGGGGCTCCTAGTCCCGGGCCCCACCGCCCTTTGGACTCCCGGCTCCCGGGCCGCGCTCTCCCGGCGCCGGCCCGGCCCCAGCTCCACGCAGGCCTCGGGTCGGGCCTTTTGGCGCCCAGGCGGGCTTGCCGTGCGGGCGGCTGCGCTGCAGCGGGAAGGGCGTCTGGGAGCAAACCTGCGAGGACTGGGTTTGTGAGTCCCTCCAAGAGCCAGGGTCTTCTGCTTCCCTGCAGATCTGTAGCGTGGAGGATCAGGCTGCCTAAAACGCTGAGTTCAGTACCCGGGTCCCGAGGGCGCTGGATTTGGGGCCTTCTCTTAGCCACATTCTCTCAGGGCTCTTGTTTAAACTTCAGAAGGTTTGAGGGCGGGTGCTTCTCCACCTCCCACCCTGGCCCCCCGCCATTGTCTGTCATGTCTCTTAACTCCTATCTTGGGAGGGAGAGTCAGGGGTTGCCTGCTTCTCTCTAGTTTCCTAGCCCAGGCCCTAGGGCAGTATCGCAGAGACTCTGTCACCTTTTGGAGGGAAAGGGGCCCAGATCCAAAACTGAGAATTTTTCAGGGCAGAGGATAATGAGGCCTTGAGTGAGGGCTTCTCGGGGGCGGCCTCCATCTGTGTCTTCCCTCTCTTCAGGTAGAGGCAGAACCAGGTCAGGCCTGGACTTGCAGTCCAGGAGAACAGAGCATGGGAGTGGGGGCTGGACACAGCCGCAAGGGGCTGGTGCCCATGGGCCCTCTGTGTATCTGGTCTCCTGCGACTTGGTTATGTGTGCACGTCCTCCACTTTAATGCAGGGGTGGGACACTTTCCATGGTGAGGATGCATTTAGAATGGGAAGCATCTGGCCTCAGTCCTTCAGTGGCCCTGGGCCCTCCTTTCCACCTTCATCTTCAGATTTGCAGACCCTGAGTTCCATAAGCTGTCAGTGGATAAAACTTTAAAACCAAGAGGAGGCATCTCAACTTGAGGAGATTGTGAAATTAGGGCTTTCTTCTCATCTAAGCCTTTATTTAACCAGTTGTAATACGTTAGTAGTCTGCTTTGAGCCTCAGTTTCCCAACTTGAAATAAATGACTTTTCAAGGCACTTTTCTGCAAGCTCCTTGGGAGTTCCTGTCAGCCAGTCTACCTTCCTCCTCCTTCTAGTATGGAACCTGGACCTGAAGATGATGAAGTGATTGAAAGTTTGGTGGGGACAAACTAGTGGGGGTAACGAAGAAGTAACTAGATCAGCTGAGTGTGGTTGACAACATTGCAGGCAGCCAGTGTCCAGGGACACAGCGGTGGGGTAAAGTTGGGGAACTTGCCCTCTGAAGAGGTAGTAGGATCTGGCTCTGAAGAGGTTTGGCAGAGTAGAGGGTACCGATGGTGGTCAGAGGCCACTTGGGCTTAGCAATTCCCCTGCCCTCTTGCATACCCCATTGGGTGAGTCTGAAGTGGAGACTGAAAGCTGTCAAGGAATAGAAAAGCTGTCAAGGAATAGAGCGTTCTTGCTCAGCAAGGGAAGAGGGATTGGCTGGCAGCAGGAAAGGAAGTACTTTGGTGGTGCCAGGTCAAGGGAGGGCTCTAGAAGCTGCAGCTTTCTGTTGAGGTGGCCAGGAGGTCAAAATTGCTTCTTCCCACAGAGGATTATAGAAGCTGTGGGGTCCAGGTGGTGCCCTGGAAGATGCAGGGCTCCATAGACTTCTGGAGCACCTCTGGAGCTATGGGGCAGTTTCTCTAGTTAAAGTCAGGCAAGTCAACAGGTCACACTTTTGTTCCCATGGCACTGTCCTCCCTACCTGGTGTTGTACCAGGGCTAAGGGGTATTTTTGAGAGGGGCAGCTGACCCTCTGGGAAGGAAGCTGAAAGAACAAGGGCTCTCAGGGTCCCCAAAGGGAGCAGGAGACCGGGGGCAGAGAATTCCTTCCCCCTACCTAACAACAACAGGTGCCCAGAGTAGCCTGGTGGTGCTGTGGTTAAAGTACTTAGATGATAACTGTAAGATTAATGGTTTGAACCTACAGGCTACTCCTCATGAGAATGATGTGACCATCTGTTCTGTAAAGATTTGCAGCCTTGAGAACCCTTTGGGGCAGTTTGAATTTGGCCTGTAGAGTCACTATGAGTTGAAATGGACTCAAAAACAATGGATTTTTTTTCTTTGTTTGTTTGTTTATTTGTTTGGGTTTTTTAAAATAGATCCCAAATTTTAACCTCAGCCTTTGGGGTTTCCTAGAGTGCTGATTGTTTCCTGTACTCCCTGCCAGGCCTGAAAGGACAGGAAGTGATAGAGGGAAATGAGAGTGCAACTGTATGTGGCACTGGATGTGTGTGAGAGAGGAACTGTGAATGGGACATTCTATGTGTGAGAGAAAGAAGCCAGGCAAAACAAAAACATGTGTGTAGGACTATGTATGACACTGGGTAGATGCATGAGAGAAACTATGTGACATTGACTATGATGCTGTGACATTTATATGTGAGAGAAATGTGTATGACATTCTTTGATGAAGATTGCATGTGCATAAAAGAAACTATATGTACATACATAATGTGCATATATAATCTGTCATACTTCATGTGTATGAGAGAAATTATCTCCAGTGTGTAAGTAGGTGTCACTCTCTGTGTGTATGAAGGAAACCATGCCCAACCATCTGCACATATGCCTACACGTTGACGTTCAGTGTCGTGCTGCTGCTGTTTGTGTATGAGAGAAGCTGTTTATGGGACACTGATTGTGTGATGCCATAGTTGGCTATATATAACTCTGGCTGTGCGTGTTAGAAGCAGAATGAGCGACATTCTGTGTGATGTATGATGCTGTGATGTGGCCACTTCGGATGTGATATGGGTGTGAAACGATATGTGTTATAGGCTTGGGTTTGTGAGAAATTGATGGGGGGGAGTGTGACTATGTATAAGAGAAAAACAGTGAGGCCATGATAATGTAATGTATATTTGTATGTGAAAGAGAATGAAGAGTCTGTGAGAGACAGCGATAAACCGGTGTGTCACAGTGGGCTGTCTCCGACAGTGTGTGTGCTGAGAGACTGTTGTGATAAGCTGTGTGAAATAAGGTGTGTAGGTGAAACTGAGCACCAGAAAGAAACTCTGTGTGCAGCTCTGCATGTGAAGGAAACTGTGTGGGGTGCGACTGAGACTGCCTCTGTGGGTGGCCATTATCTGAGATTGTTTGGGACTGCCGGACAGTGTGGGTGACATCCTTTGGAGTTGTGCCAGAGTTGTTAGTTGCTGTCATGTGGGATAGGATATGACACATCGAGGGGCCTGGGACTCTGATGCCTTGTGGAGGTTGGTGTTGTTATTGTGTACAGTGGAGTTGTAACGACTCATAGCTGACCCTCCAGCGGAGTTATTCAGAGGCTTCAAATCACTTGAGAGGAGACTGCCTATCTTTCTCCTGTGGAGCAGCTGGATTTGAACCTAGTGCCTTAGGATTGGTAACCCAACTTCATACCACGAGGCTGCCAGAACTCCCTCCTCATGGAGGAAGACTATGAAAAAGTACTCTTAGAAAGAAAGAGAGCAGTGCAACTAAGTAAAAGAGAAGGGGGAGGAAGATACTGTGACTGAGGGCTTGCTTGACTGAGTGATTAGTGGCAGCTCAATGGGTGACCCAGAGTACAAAGAGGCTGAGGCATGGCCCACTGATGTGTTAATTGAGAGAATGACACCAAGAGTTACCTGTTGATTATCTCCCTGCCCCATTCCCCAACTTGTCCCTAACTGGGTCCCTGGCTTGGCTGAGTGGAACAAATGAGGAGATGGAGTTTGAAGGCCCTGAAAATAAAGCACACACATACACACCCCCTCCCTCATCACTGCTCTGGTGGGTAGCAACAGTGAGGATGAGCTTTGGAGGAGGAAGAGGGTCATTCTTTCCCTGTTCTTTGAAAAACCCTTTCCCAAGTAGTGGGGAGAGCCTTGATTCCCAAATTGGAAGCACATTAGTAGGCGGGGTAGAGGAGAGGAGGCCCCCACATCCCTCCTAGTGTGCTCTGCAAATTGCTTCCTCCTGTAAAAATCTAGACCCTGCTCCAAGGAGGATAGTGCTCCCTCCCCAGCGTGGCGGGGTGTGGCCACTTGGCAGGGTCCCTCAGGAGTCGTTGGGCTGGAGATGGAGGAGGCATACACTACTCTCACCCCCTCCTCTGCCCCAATCTGGTCCCAAACAGAGCGTGGCCACTTCTAGGGTGGGAGCCTCTCTGGCAGCTGGAGAACAGCTGGGCCCTCTGAACAGGGCGGGAAGAGAGCAAAGAGAGAAAGGCAGAGGAGGTGGGAGTCTCCCCTGTCCCTTATAACTACTCTCTCCATCCCCTACCCCCTAGTTTGAGGGCAGCCCTAGTTTGGGAGCAGGGGCTTCCTGATGTCCCTTCTGATTTCACCCTTGTTCCCACACTGAGAGCACTTTAGAGGCCAGGTCCTTGCTAGAGTGGATAGCTGCTGGCCACTGGGTCCTTAAGACCACTGCTCAGCTTGTGCTGGTGGGACTGGCACAGAGGGAGTGGATAAGTAGGGAGTTGCCCACCTGCCGCATTTGCCTGATCTGCATCCCTTTACCAAGGCAGCTGCTCTTAGGGAGGCCCTGCTTAAGGCATGTCCTTCCTTCCTCCTTTAAAATGCAGGTTTAGGAGGTCTGGAACTCGCAGGGCCCCAGGGATGGGGGTCCAGAGCCTCTGCAGCAGCCACAGCTCTGGTCTCCATCCCTGGAGCTGTCTGGCCAGTTCTTCCAGGAGCCCTGTCCCTAGGGTAGGGAGTGAACAGCCTGGTCTCCCTCACCTTCCCCAGGGCCCCACAGCCTGCTCACCCTGACTCCTAGTCCACATCAAGGGGCACCTTCTGACCCTGAGGACTGTGGGCCTTCAAGTGAGAGGAGATATGGCCGGGTCAAGCTGAGAGAATAGGAAGAGTGAGTCCTCGGGAGGGATGCCTCCCTACTGGCATGTGCAGGTGGACTATGTGGCAGTGGTCCCCGAAGCTGGAGATGGGAGGTGGCTGTGAAGGGGTGGGGAGTAGAAAAAGATAAGACAGGAGTGGGGAGGGCCTGGCCATGGCCTTGTGGTGACTGACCCCACAACCCCCAGCAATGACTTCTAGTCATTCTAGTCTCGCCTTCCCTATGGTCTTTGTAACCTCTGGGCCTCTCTATCCCTTCCCTTCCTCTCTGTGTCACTGGCTGCCCCATCTCTTGATGTTCAGTGTCTTAGTCTCTTTAGTAGACAGCTCCCTGTGGGTGTCCTCATCTCTGGATCTTGATCTCTGCTGGTTGAACTCTTTTTCTCCACACCCCACCCCACCCCTGTCTGTAGAGTTGATGTTCTCCCTAGCTCATTCTGTTCATCTCTGTGGATCCTCCTTTCTCTGGATCTCTGTCTCTTCTAATAGAACCCTCTGTGGTTCTGTCTCTAGGTCACTTGTCTGTTTGCTGGTTGTTTTCTGTTCCTACTCACTGGGATTCTCACTGCTTCTCTGTCTCTGGGAGTCTACATCTTTGTTTATTCTGCCTGAATCTGTCCCCCTTCTATTCCCACCCCAGGTTCTGCCCATTTCTTATTTTCTTTCCCTCTCTCTTTCCCTGCCTATCCATCTCAAGATCCACCAGGTCTCCACCCCTCTGCCCTTTGCTGTGTTTTCTCCTTTTCTCAGCAAGGATGCCCTACACTGTGTCTTCTCCCCCCTCACATCTAGCCCAACAAGACACTCCGCCAAGCTGTCAACAGGCAGCCTGGGGCCTTCCCAGTCCTTCTCTATGAGGGGAGAATGAGGCCCTACATAGGTCTGGGGCTGTCAGCAGCGTGGCCAGCCCTCTTGCCCAGCCATCCCCCTGTTGACTCCTTGCCCCTCCCCCATGCCCGAGTCCAGCGCTATCTCACCACCTAGGGCCTTGAAGCCTCCTCCCTCACCCTAGGCTGAGCCTCGGTTCTTTGGGTTGATTAAGAGGAGACTGGACACTCCTGGCCCCTCACTCCCCATCCCACAGCAGTGACTCCAGAAAGACCAGAGCACACTGCTCTCTTCCATCACACTGTCCCTACTGAGGGGTGTGCTGGGACTGATACCTCAGATCAGCCCAGCCTGGTCCCATGTGAACTCCTCACCTTGAGGGGCATATCTCATCTGGGTGTCAGTCACCCTGGGCACCCGCTCAGCGTATGTACAGGGCATATAGCTTGTACATAACTGCCCAGGGGGTTACCTGTGGACCACCGTGTTAGAACCGCTGCCCGCAGGCATGTTCATGGGAAGTGAGTGGTCCTGTTTCACGCCTTGATTTGCCCCGTAGCCACCCCCTTAACTCCCCTCCCCCTCGCCAGCTGCCAGCAGTCCCAGCCAGGGGCCGCCCGCCCGCCCTCCCCCCCAGTCTGTCCCAGCTCCCTAGCGCTGCTGTGTTCGCCATATTTGGCCACAGTGCTCCCGCGGGGGGCGGGGCAGGACTGACATCACCCCAAAAGGGGGGGCACAGCCTGGATGAGGGGAGGTGGCCAGAGACTTGGGGGAGGCAGGAAAGTTGCTTTTAAAAGTCTGGGGCTGCCAGGGCCCCCTGTGTGGCCAGGCTCCTGCCGCTCTGAGGAAAGGCTCAGGAAAGGATTTGGGGAACTATGCTGAAGACAGGAGCAATGATGGCTCAGTGGTTAGAGCATTGGGCTGCTGAGATCAGCAGTTCGAACCCTGCAGCCACTCCATGTGAGAACGATGTGGTATTCTATTTGCTTAGCGATTTACAGCTTTGGAAACCCTGTGGGACAGTTCTGCTCTGTCTTTATGGGAACCCTATGAGTCAACTTGATGGTAGTGGATTTGGTGTTAGTTTGGGGTGTGAAGATTCAGACCAACAGGAGGAGGGGTCTTAGCAAGTTGTAGCTTCTCTTCCCCCTCACCTCTGACAGACCCTTGGTGACAGTCACGTAGGAAAGGCTCTCTATCTCAACTACTTCTGTGTGAGAATCCTGGGTCCTCTAGGGCCCCTCCCCTGCCAACTAGCACACCCCTGCTCCTCACATTATTCTAGGATTTTGATCCCAGGAATGAGGGGCAGGCAGGAGGTGGGGGCACTACCTTGGCTCAGATACTAGTTGTAGAACTTAGTAGTTGTGTATTCCTGAGCAAGTCGCTTAACCTCTCTTGATTTCTTTGTTTCCTCATCTCTAAAAGGGGAATAATAATAGTGTCTCCTACAGGGTGACTGGGAGGATTAAATGAGTCAGTATGTGTCAAATAATCAGAACAGTACCTGACACACAGCAGGCACTGTGATTACAAGTTAGATTCACTCTAAACTCGGAATTCATCTGACTCCCTCAGACTCTCTCACTCTACTGTTACTATGTACCTTTGAGTTGGAAGCGACCCATAGCTGACCATCCAGGGGTTTTTAAAGGCAGTTAAACACACACGAGGAGATTGCCAAGCTTTCTCCCTCAGAGCAGGAAGGTTCAAACCATGTGCCTTCAGGATTGCAGTGCAGCTTCTTACCACTAGGCCACCACAGCTCCCTAGTGACCATCAAACCTTCCTCAACAATTAGGAGAATTCAACCGCTGTCCACTCAGCAGGACCTGGAATTGATGTCTAAGGGAAAAGAATGCCCATCTCTGGCTTCTGGAAGGCATTCCCAGCCCCTGCCCCGCTTCCCAGGAGGTCAGTGTCGAGTCTTTGGCTCTAGTCTTCATGGGCTGTAGATTTGTACACATCAGGCTTGTGCGCCGTGGGGCCGAATGGGCACATGACGTAAACTTGGAGTAGTGTGTGTGTTAGGGGGATTGTCTAGGTGTGGTCTAAGTGAATAATCCAGTCTCGCATGTTTGGAGAACCCTACAGTTTACAAAGTCCTGACCCATCCTCCATATGGGGCAGCTCAGGGGCAGGCATGTGGGTAGTTTATGGGCTGCTAAGGGGCTGAGGAGGTGCGGGAACAGGAAGTAGGGTGCAGAGAGAGAGTGAGGTTGAGCAAGGCTCTTGGCCCAGCACCTCCCCAGCCAGCTCCCTTTGGGAAGTTCTTAGGGGCAGTTCCTGCCCCAAATTTAGATTCTTCAACCAGTATCTCTTTAGTGATCAGTTTGGGGATGGTGACACCTGGCCTTTCCTGGGTCACAACCTCCTTCATCCCTCAGCTGGGTCACACTGATGCTGGGCAGAGAGTTGAGAGGTTTGGGTCCCTGGTTGGGGATCCGGAGAAGATGCCCCTCCTATTCTTCTGGGTTCCAGGACTTTGAACCACCCTCCTTGTATTCTCTCTCCTACTGAGAATGTACCACTCAAGACACAGGGAGCAATGGTGGCTTACTGACAAGGCTACCAATGCTAAGGTATGTGACTCGAATCCATCAGCTGCTCCACAGGAGAAAGATGGGCAGTCTCTTCCCATGCAGTTTACTGCCTCTGAAAACCTGCTGTAGGGTCAGCTGTCTACTCAGTGTTCACAACAACACCGCCTCTGATACACAGAATCAGAATCTGCGTTTTAACAAGATCTGTAAGAATCACCAAGGAGACCTGGTGAAACAGTGGTTAAAGAATTCAGCTGGTTGTCCAAAGATCTGTGGTTAGAACCTCCCAGATGTTTCTTGGGAGAAAGATAAGGCAGTCTGCTTAGGTAAAGAGTTACAGCCTTGGTGGGGCCATTCTCCTCTGCCCTACGTGATCCCAGTGAGTCAGGATCCACTCTGATGGCAGCACATTTCTAAGAATCACCTGGGGATCTTTGTCAGCTGTAGATTCTGATTCAGTATATCTGGGGCAGAAAGGCACGTTCTCAGCAGGAGGTCTAACCGGAATGAGCCAGTTCAAAGCCCTGCTTTGCGCATCATGATGCCTCTGGAGCTGGGTGACCTCATGAGCCTCGGTTTCCCTCATCTGGATAATGTGACATCACTCCTTGCCTTCTCTGCATTACAATTTTATATGGTGGTGGTGGTTCCGGTGGTTGTGTACCACCAAGTTGGAACCTACCTGTAGCTGGTGGATTTTCAGAAGCAGTTAATTGCTTGGGAGATTAGCCATCTATCTCCCATGGAGCAACTGGTGGATTTGAACTACATGCCTTCGGAATTGCAGTGCAGTTTGTTACCACTAGGCCAATGAATATGAAAGTGCTTTTCCTCCCCAAAAGCCTGTGTAGGTATTAGAGATTGTTGTTGATGATGATGATTGTGATGTACTGTTTCATTATATGCCTGCCTGGCATTATGGTTAGCATTGTATTGCAATCTTACTCAAATCTGAGTCATCACAACCTCAAGGAGCCCCTTTCCTCCATTTATAAGACCCAGGCTCAGAGAGGTGAAGTAGCTCCCCCAAGATCACACAGCTTTGAGTAATGACCTCTGGTGGCCTCCACCCCCCCTGGAGCACGTGCCCTGGGAGTGTGGCTGGAAGTGGAGGAGTGGTGGTGGGAGGTGCACAGCCATGACTGGGGGGTAGGGAAGTGATTTGGTCTGAGAGGACTGCTGGCCCTAATCCCTCTTTGTCTGTCCCCCAGGCTCAGGCTGCCCAGGGGGCTCAGGCCCAGAGCCCAGAGCAACCAGCACAATAGCGTCCAACAGCTGGAACACCAGCAGCAGCCCCGGGGAGGCCCGGGAGGATGGGCCCGAGGGCCTGGACAAGGGGCTGGACAACGATGCGGAGGGCGTGTGGAGCCCGGACATCGAGCAGAGCTTCCAGGAGGCCCTGGCCATCTACCCGCCCTGTGGCCGGCGCAAGATCATCCTGTCGGATGAGGGCAAGATGTATGGTACGTGTGGGCCGGCCGAGGGACACTGGACAGGCCTGGGGAGCTGACCTGACCCTCCTCTTGCTGTCCTCTCCACCCCACCCCCTCTTGCTCTCTGCCCCTCACCTAACCGGTTTGGCAAAGTCCTAGGAGGAGGCCAGAGGCTGCCAGCCCGCCACAGGCGAGTCTGGGCGTGCAAGCCTGTGTGTCTGGATCCTCCTCCGCCCTGCTGCCTCCTCATAAACAAGCCAGGCTTGCCCCCTCTGCCAGAGCACCGCCCACACCTCGACACCCACAGCTGCTCCTCCTCTTCCTTCCCTCCCCCTACTGGCCTGGAGGTTTCGGGGTGACTCAGTGGGCCCAGGAAACTGGGTCAGTCCAGTCAGGTGTAGGGTCCCTCCTCCAGGAGGGGGTGCGGAAGTCCTAGGGGTGAGGCCTGGGTTCAAGTTACTCACAAGGCCTCGGTTCCCACTAGCTAAGCTTCCAGTCACCGTCCAGGTATATCAGGGGACTGGTGGGGCTGCAGGGCTAATAGGATACCCAGTGTACTGAGGGGACAGGTACCACTCCCCAGAAACAACTCCCCAACCCCAGTCTCTCCTGACCCCTCTCCTCGCTACCTTGCTCACCTCCCACTTCCAGAAGGGGAGTATCCCTTCTTGTCCAGCCCTGAGAGGATTCTCCCAGAGCTGCATTTTTGGGATAACTCAACCCTTCTGGACCTGGCTCCTTGCCAGCTCTTAGCTCTTCCCTAACAGCCTATGGCTGGGTGAGGCAGGCCCTCAGCCTTTGACAGCATCTGTGACATGGCAGACCTGAGGGAAGTAGCTGGGTGAAGTGGTCTGGGAACCCCAGCTCCCTTGCACCCACTGCCTTTGCCACCCCTACTCTTCAGCCCCACTCATGGGCAGGCAGATGTTTCTGGGTACCTTGTATAGTACAGGGGCAGATGGCTAGGGCAGCCCCAGAGGGTATTTTTAGACAGGGTGGAGGGAGTGGAGAAGAGAGGGGCCCGAGGGACGGGAGGAGCAGTAGGGCTGGTTCTGTCATTGGAGAAGAATTTGGAGAATGTGGCTGTTCTGGGGAGGCCATGATGTTGGGGGACAGGCTGGCCTGGATTTAGGGGGTAAGAGGCCAGCATACATTTGGCCATGTATCACTAACCTTCCTCATGGTGCCTAGCTCCTGGACACTGGCTAGCTTCATCCTTACCACAAAACCCTCAGATCTGTCATGCTGAGCAGAACTCCTAGCCCAAGGCTGGCAAACCGCTGCGCTCTCAAGGGTAGGGAAGACCCTCGTAACTGGTGACAGGGACTAATAAGCACAAGGACATGGTTACATGCTCAGTGACACGTCTTGAAGGAGGCTGTCAGAGAAGGAGGCATGTTTAAGATTGTACAGTCCTTCCTCCCTCTTTCACTAGAGAGGAAAACTTGTCCAGCAGCTCCCTCCATGGCAGGGACAGAGCAAACGGGGATAGAAACCCAGTCCAGAACTCTTTCAGCCAGATGTGGGGACATGGGCTGAGCCCTCTGCCCCCTGGGCAGGTTCATTCATACATGTGTGTGTGTGTGTGCAGACTTACACCCACAAACATACACTGCATGATTTGGAGTTAACAACACACACAGAAGGGGCAGCAGCACAGCTGTGGGACGGGTGTGAAGGGGTGCTGTGCTGGGAGAGGCCCTTCTGGCCCCACACGTACAGCCAGCTGTCCAGCTGACTATGGCCACACCTGGCCCTGTCTGTCTGCAGGGAAAACTGTCAAGGCCACTGACTTGTCCACCCTTCCTTCTTCCTACTCTGCCCCTGAGTCTGTCCTTTCTGTCCTTTACTCGCCCCCTCCCCTGTGAGCAGCTTCCCAGGTCCTGAAAGTAATGGAGGTGGGAGGGGAGGAGGGACACACATCCTTGCCCACCTTGCTTGTGCCTCCTGCGGAAGCAGGTGGAATGAAGAAGGTTGGGAGCGGGAATAGAGAGAAGTGTTTCGAGAGAAACCCTGGTGTGATTTTTTTCCTGTGGTAAAGGTCCCAAGCCACCAACTCCATCTTTACTCACTCATTTTTTTCTCTTGCTCACATCCAGGTCGTAATGAGTTGATAGCCCGCTACATAAAATTGAGGACAGGGAAGACTCGGACGAGAAAACAGGTAACGAGATATTTATGCTGTGGCCCCTCTGCCCACACACGCTTAGGGGCCACATTCAGCCCCTTCCCACCCACCCGCCAGGGTTGCCCTGCCTCACCGCACCTGCCCACTGGCCCGCCATCCCCTGCCTTGTCTCAGGGGGCTCCTGCCCTTCCTCTTTTAAGCTACTTTGTCACTCTTCCATTTCTCTTAGAGAGATGGTCCCAACACCCCCGAGAAAGGGGCATCTCCTCTCTGACCACCCACCTCCCCAACCCAGGCCTTTGGTTCAGGGACTAGAGAGAAACTCTACAAGCTCAGGGACAGCTATATGACCACTGCTCTGAGGATCCCACTAACAAGAGAGGGAGACAGATGAATAAATAGACAAAGGCTGGGCGGGGTGACATAGCCCATAGTTGTGTGTGTGCAAGGCACTGTCTTGACATGCAGCTAACCCAGACCTGGATAGAAAGCCAGGAGGGCTTCACAGAGGAGGTGACACATGAGATGGCACATTTAGTTTGTTCATTTTTTTTATTGTGGTAAAGTATATTTAACAAAGCATTTGCTGATTCAACCACTTTTACGTGTACAGCGACATTAATTACAGTCACCGTATTGTGCAACCATCACCATTGTTTTAAGATGCATTTTTGGGGAAAAAATATTTTAACGTGGTGAAGACAAACAACAAAGCATTCCGTCAAGATGTATTTTCAGAAGGGATAGCAGTTAGCCAGGCAGAGAAAAGGGAAAGGGTCTTTCCACATTTAAGGAAGTTGCAAAGACATAATAATCATGGTAACCCATAGTTTTACTGTGTAATAATTTATAGAATGGTCACAAGAGCTTTACAAGATAAGTACAGTAATAATGTCCGCTTTGCAGATGAGGAAACTGAGGCACAGGGAAGTTAGGCAACATCCTGAAGGTCAGTCAGCTGGTAGGTGGTGGATCCAGGGTCTAGCCTACTGGGCAGGGAAAAGCCCTCTGTCAGCGGTGTGGTGTGGTCGAGTCAAGGGAAGAAATGGTGAAGGGACCCAGGAGATGTGGCTGCAAGAGGCAGGTTCCCCCGGGGACAGCTGGAGATCGCAGAAGGACAGAGCAAGGTACAGCACAAAGAACGGATTGGAGGAGGCCAGGCAGAGGCCCGAAACAGTGCTAATAGCCTTCAAAGAAGGAATAGGAATGAGAAGAAATGGTGATGTGAGCGGTGATCACTGGCCTTGGGCCCAGGGAGGGTGACACAAGGTGAGAGGAACACAAGGAAAGGGAGTATTGGGTATTGGGGTGAGTTCCATTTGGGGTGTCTGAGAGTCATCCAGAGAGGTATCTGAAAGGCTTGGAGGTGGGAGAGAGGCAAGGCTGAAGGCCAGCACCCAGAGCCTGAGGACAGACAGACCCCACAACCCACTGTGGGTCTGGGTAAGATTTGAACCATGCTCTTAAAATCCCCAGGTGCCTGTGTGTTCATAGAACAGGCTTGACCTCTCCAACCCCCACCTCAAAGGAAGGTGCTGAGGCCCCACCCAGGGTGGGAGGGGAAATGATGCCTTTCATTCAAGCATTTATTAACCTCCTTCCTAGCTTGTGTTACACAGCACTTTATTTATTCAGCAATTTATTGAGCAACTACTATGTTTGAGGTGCTAGGGGTCCAGCAGGGAACTGGACAGACCTGAGTTCTGTTTCCTGGGACTCAGGGCTACAGGAGGAGTAGTGCCTGGTGGGTAAGAGACTCAAGAGGATAGACCCCTGGGCTCAAATATTAGCTTTGTTACCTAGAGGGTGGGTACTTCCCTCCGGCCTGCACTTCCTCGGCCATTAAATTAGTTACTATTCAGGACACTTAAAGCTGAGTAATAAGCACTATATAGGAACTTCATGTTGTGACTGCTGTTAATTATTATTCCAGCAATTATTAAAAACAAAGGTCCATGTGTGACACAAGCCCTCTGTACGTAGCCACTCACCTGAAGTTGGTGGCTCAAAGGTGGAGCCATTTGCTTCTGTGACAATCACAGCCAAGCAAACTCTGCAGGGAAGTTCCTCTCTGTTCCACAGAGGGGGTTGCCTGAATCAGGATCAACTCAATAGAAATGGGGATATGGTCTGGTTTTTAAGCCTCTATAAGGGAATTGAAAGCCCCCCAATGTTTTATGATTGGCCGCTAACCATGCAGACCCACCCATCCAGCACGCGGATAGAAGGGCCTGGCTGCTTGCTTCTGCGAGGATTGCAGTCAAGAAAACAACCCTGTGGGGCCATTACTGTAACACATGGCAGCGCCTGAGTCAGGATCCACACAGTGGAAGGGGTTGGGTTTGGTTCTCAATAGTCCAAAGAGGGAGCTCTGGTAGCTTAGTGGTAAGAAATTGTGTTAAAAAGTATGCAGTTCGAATCCACCAGCTGCTCTGTGGGAGAAGGATGGACAGTCTCCTGTAGATTTACTGCCTCTGAAAATCCACTGGTAGGTCAGCTCCAACTGGACAGTACACAATACAATAGCAGTAGTCCCTAGCCAGGAGCCGGGCACTCTCTTTTTGCTGTGCTGCCACCACGAGGTGTGTTTACAGGGACTTGTGTGCTCAAGAGAGAGAGCGCACAAGAGCCAAGGGGTCGTAGAACCCAATCATCTGGTGAAAGAGCTCGGGCTGGAGGTGGTGCATAGCCCCAGCCTCCTCATCAGCAGTCCAGCATCATTCCAGCTCCCGAGAAAGCTGCTAGTCCTTCAAGGCTTAACACACCCGCTGATGGCGAGCACAGAACATAAAAATCCATTGCCCTTAATCGTATTGCAAGACCAGCCCTCTCTAATGTCAGGCTTGTTGAATCTAAAATCCCCTTTGATTTGTCTGTGGTTGTGCAGACAAAGACACTCTTCATGTGTCTCAAAGAGCAGCCAGTTAGGGACAACTAAGGCTGGTTTGGTCATTTTTCTTCTCTTTCTAAGGAAATAACACTTCTAGGGTTTTTTTTCAGGCACCTCTGGTGGCCTAGTGAGTAGAGAATTGCATTGCCAGTCCAAAGGCACCAGTTTGAATCCACCAGCTGCACTGCAGGAAAAACCAATCTCCTCCCATATGGTTTTACAGCCTCTGGAAACTCATGGGGGGTCAGCTATAGATCGGCATTGGGTGTGGGGGTATAAGTGTTTAGGCCTGAGTTAGTGATCACAGAGCTAACATCTGAGGTGTCTGCCAACTGGAGGTGATCTCTTCATTAATGGCTCAAAGGAGAGAGGCCTGGTATGGCATGCTCCCTGGTGAAACAGTTGGGCTACAGAGTCAGATCACTGAGGCTTGGATCCTAGCTCCTGTACTCAGCTGTGTGACCTTGGATTAAGTTGCTTAACCTCTCTGGGCTTCTGTTGCATCATCTGTAAATGGGGGATAATATGCGTACCTCCTTGTTAGCGTTGTTATGAAGATCAAATGAGTTGGTTCCTGTAAAATGCTGAAAAGAGTAGGATCTGTGCTCAGCAAATGTCAGGACTGTCATGAAATGACATGATCTTAGATCTGGGGCACACGAGTTCGACAGCCGAAATGACGTGATCTTAGAGCTGGGGCACACAAGTTCGACAGCCGTGTGCTGTGTTCTGGGAGTAGAGCAAGGCACAGGCAGGTCCAAGCCAAGTGAACCAGGGGCTGCCAGAGCATCACAGACATAGTAACTTTCAGCCTGTGATTAGAACAAAAAGGAAACTGTTTCTTTGTGAGGATAAAAGCAATTTGCAAAGAAACCCAATAGCAATCACTGTGGGATTTTAAAAAATTATTTATTTATTAATTGTGAAGCAGCCTGCAGGGATTGTGTTTCAGTGGTGGCACTAGGAAGTCTTCGGCACCGCGTGACAGTCTCAGAGGGGTGATACCACAGTGACAGTCTACATGATGTTTGTGCAGTGTCCCAGCAGAAATAATATTCTTATGTCCCTACAATTGGTTGTAACAATGAAGACATTGTCTATAAGCCCAGCTTAACCATGTTAACATACCCACAAGGCTAAAACTCTATGCTGATTCACTCTTTGAATCTTCCTGTGCTTGGACCCAGCTGCACCAAGGTTTTGGATTTACAAGTATGGCCCTGGTGTTCTCCCTGCTGCAGGCACTTTTATAGGCCCTGATTTGTCAACCTTTCTGGTGCTTTAGCTGCAATAGTGTGGTAATAAATATTTGTGAAAACTGTGTCAAGAATTTGTGATGAATTTGACAATGAAGGAGAAATTAAGAAAAAGGTAGAAAAGTAAGAAAAAACTTCCACTCATTTATTAATAATACAATTAATAATGTTATAATTCATCACTGTTGTTATTGTTATCATGTGCCATCACGTCGACTGTGACTCACAGTGGCCTTGTGGACAAGAGATATGAATCTAGCCCTATCAATCTTGTTGTTGTTGTTAGGTGTGTCAAGTATGACCTGTAGCAACCCCATGAATAACAGATCTGAACCCTGCTCTATCCTGTGCCATCCTCACACTTCCTGATACACTAGAGCCCATTACGGCAGTCACTGTGTCAAGCCATCTGGTTGAGGATCTTCTTGTTAGTATTTGGATAATCTAAGAAATATATATTAGTGATGGTAACAGTTGGTGGTGGTGTCATTAGGTGCTGTTGAATCAGCTACGACTTATAGTGACCCCAGGGACAGATCTGACCCCTGCCCTGGCCTGTACCATCCTCACCATCTCCGATGTGCTCAAGCCCATTGTTATGGTCACTGTAACAGTCCGTCTGTCTGGGGTCTTCCACTCTGTCTCTGACCCTCCACCTTTCCCAGCATGACGTCCTTCTCCAAGGCCTGGCCCCTCCTGACAATATGCCCACAGTGTGTGAGATGAAGTGTCACCACCCTTGCCTCCAAGGAGCAGCCTGGTGGACTCAAGCAGTCAGAGGTGGCTAGGACGGTGCAGGATAGGACAGGGTTCAGATCTGCTGTTCGTAGCGTCACTGTGGGTCAGAGCCAACTCAATGGCACCTAACAACAATACCAAGAAATACTGCATTTAAGCAATTTACAAGTATATGTACCATCTTTTATGATTGAGATGGATAATAAATATGAGAAGAATTCTGTATGGTCTGATTAGGCAGTCTGGGATGATAATAGCATGAATTGCCACATTGGGTGACACTATTGCTGTTACCTGATAGAAGCAGTGACATTGGGGTTCTCCCAGGCTCAGGTCCTTGGCAATATCCATGGTACAAGCCAGACAGGCGGGCCCGTGAGAGTGAGCAGCATAGGTTTGTCAGAGAAGGCTTCAGGAGGGAAGGATTGCGATTAAAAGCACCTGCTGTGTACTCATGGGGCATTTAGTGGTTCCATGGTAAGATCCCACCTTTCTTGTGAGACGCAGGTTCGATTCCCAGCCTGTGCACTTCACGTGCGGCCACCACCTGCATGGCAGAGAAGGAAGGCTTCCATAGCATCATGAGGCTGAATAGTTGCAGAGGAGTTTCAGAACTGAGGGATGCTCGGGAGAAGGAGCTCTGAGAGCCCCATGGACCAAATTGATGGCCATCAGGAGCATAAGCAACACAGCACATGCGATCTACTGGCAGATATTAGTCCTAAGAGGAAGAGGGCGTGTGGGGAAGAAGCCAAGTGAACAAAGCAGGAACAGGATCGCGGCTGGCTTTCTAAGGCAGCCAGCCGTCGGTGCTGATCAGCTGACACAGACTGTGATACTTGTGGTGACGAATGTGGCCTTGTAGTCCAATGGTCAGCAGGAGTGCCATGGCCATTGCCTCTCTGGTGCCAATTAGGAAAAAGTACATCCCCTAAGGACATCAATGAGAAAAATCCCCCCATTTTCAAGCAACAAACAAGAAAAATAGGTTCCTCTGGGGCAGCTGAATCCTTGCCCCTGGCTAGCTTGGCCAGTGAGCCCTCATTCATGTCCCTTCAGCCTACACTCTTGGTCAAAGCAAACCCAGAGAAGGATAGGCAAAGCCAAGCCTGTCCAGCGGGACCCCAAACCCCCAGTTGTATTTGGTTCCCTAAGATGAGGGCTGGGGTGCCCCTTGCCCATGGCCATGCAGCAGCTGTGCCTCCTCACTGTTTTTGTTTTCCTCTCTGGTGGGACGCGGGGCGGCCCCTAGGTGTCCAGCCACATACAGGTTCTAGCTCGGAAGAAGGTGCGGGAGTACCAGGTTGGCATCAAGGTATGTTGGGTGCCTGGCTGAGGCCTCTGCTGCTGTCCGCACGGCTCAGGCCGCCGCCTCAGCCCATCTTCAGCTCCTCGGGCCTCTCTTCCGGCTGAAGCTCTGTGCTTGCCTCTCCTCCTGCTCTTCCTGCTCTCTCTCTTTCTCTGCAGGTCTCTAGCCACTTGCAGGTTCTAGCCAGGCGGAAATCTCGGGAGATTCAGTCCAAGCTAAAGGTATGAGGTCTCCTATCACCTGGCCTAGCCCTGCCATGCACCTCCCCAGGCCTATTGCTGCTTGCTGTCTGACCCAACCTGGAGGAAGGAGAGGCCTGGGGGCCTAGAGAGGGCCTTGGAAACCCAGTGACAGCAAGAAGCCCAGAGGCCGTGTCAGACAGACTATACCAGGCTTTGGTTCCTGGGGACTGAGCAGAAGCTCTAGAGATCAGCCACCCAATACAGTGAGGGGAAGGGAGACCATCTGGGGCCACTAAGACCCATCTCTCCTTTTCTCCGTTTTTCTTTTCCTCCTATTTGCTGCTTGCTAATTAATTGCATGAGGACTTCAGGTGGGCAGGCAGGAGGGACTGGAGGGAGTTGTCTGCCAGGGCCACAGTGGTGAGCACAGTAATTCTTTGCATTAGACTCTCAGTTCTGGCTGCGCTTTGATTGAGGATCTCAGAGCCTGGGCCCCTGTCCAGAGCCCCCAGTGGGCCGTGTCCTCTTCTCTCTGCCCACAGCTGCTCAGCCAACTGGGCCTCCTATGCCAGCACCCCACCCCCACCTCCACTCCCACACACTGTAGCTCCAAAAAACGTATCCAGACCTAAGGGGGTGCCAGCTTGAATGACTAACCAAGCATCCGGCCTGTTCTTCCGCTCCTCTTCCTCCCCATTCTCAGGGCGCCCCTAACTGGCAAGTGCTCCCTCTGGGGGTCATGTTGTGGGGCATGGGGGTGATGGTGAAAAGCAGCCTCTAAGCTTTTAAGGCTCTTTAGGAGCTGAGAGCAAAGTGGGCATTGGGTGGAAATGAAGGGCCTTGCCCATCTCTCCTCACCCCATTGCCCTCTTCTCTGTGACTCTTCTAATCCATCTCCTCTCCTTTCTTTGCAGGCCATGAACTTGGTAAGTAGCACTGCACCTCCCCAGGCCAGGGTTGGGGGTAGAGAGAAAGGGTCTTAGCACCTGGTATAGAATTTTCAAGCTGTGGATTATGAAATCAACCTAATAGGTCATAAGTAATTTTTCAAAAAACATAGACAGGAAACCACTCCCCTTCCATAGTTTCCAGAAGCTTTTCTGTACTGTTTATTTCGCTTCTGCTCACATCATCTCTCTGCCCCTCAGCTTTCTCACCTGTGCTTTCAAGTAGCTGCTGTACCTTTGACCTTATATAGATTAAATAATAATAATAATATAATCCTTAAAGGTAACCATTTTTACTTTTTTGGGCTAAACTGCCATTTTGTTTTAAGGTGACAGCCTTTTTAAAAAAAATTTTTCAAGGTGACAACATTTAAAAAAAATAACTTTTTTCCCCTTGTGCTGTTTTTGTTGAAAACATACAAAGGAGTGCATACATCGGTTCAACATTTTTGCCTTTGATATAGATTGTGGTGGTCGTGGTGGTGGTGGTGGTGTTATTGTTGTTCTGTGCTATCGAGTCGCTTGCAACTCATAGCAACCCTTTGTAAAACAGCTCTAAAACCTGCTCTATCCTGTGCCAACCTTACTGTCTCTGATACACCTACCCTGATTACCCCAGTCATTGAATCAGTCCATCGAGAGATCTTGGCTGAAAGGAGGGAGTACCACAGGAATGTCTATCTGTGTTTCATTGATTATGCAAAGGCATTTGACTGTGTGGATCATAACAAACTACAGGTAACTCTGAGAAGAATGAAAATCCCAGAACGCTTGATCGTCCTAAGGCGAAACCTATACTTGGACCACGAGGCAGTCATCAGAACAGAGCATGGAAACACTGCATGTTTCAAAATTGGGGAGGGTATATGCCAGGGATGTGTCCTATCTCCATACCTTTTCAATCTGTACACAGAACAGATTATCCAGGAGGCTGGGCTGTATGAGGAGAAATGTGACGTCAGGAGTGGTGGAAGATTCATCAACCATCTGTGTAATTTAGATGACACAATCCTGCTTGCTGAAACTGAGGAGGACCTAAAGCACTTGCTGCAGAAGGTCAGGGACTTCAGCCTTCAATATGGATTGAGGCTCAATATCAAGAAAACAAAAATTCTCACCACTGGGCTGATTGACAGCATCATGATGGATGGTGAAAAGATTGAGATTGTTGGGGAGCTCTGGTGGCCTAGTGGCAAGGAGCTGCAACTACAATCCCACAGGCACATGGTTCGAATCCACGAGATGCTCTGCCGGGAAAAGGAGGAACAATCTCCTCCTGTACCAGTCAGATCTAATTTGACGGTACACTCACAAAAAAAAAAATTAAAAAAGATTGAGATTGTTAAGAGCTTTAGTTTACTTGGCTCCACAGTCAACACTCTTGGCACCAGCAGCCAAGAAATTAAAAGACGCATTGCGGTGGGAAAGTCTTCAGTTAGAGACCTCTCTAAAGTACTGAGAAGCAGTGATGTCAGTCTGGAGACCAAGATGCTCCTGATATAGGCCATGACCTTTGCAATCACTTGCTATGCATCAGAGACCTGGACAATGACTAGGGATGATAGAAGGAGAATTGATGCCTTTGAGCTGTGGTGTTAGAGAAGAGTATTAAGTGTACCATGGACTGCTAAGAGAATGAACAGGTTTGTCCCGGAGAGGTTGAAGCCAGGCTGGTCCTTGGAGGCAAGGATTCTGAAGCTTTATCTGACATACTTTGGACATGTTGCAAGGAGGGACCAGTTGTTGGAGAGGGACGTCATGCCTGGGAGGGTGGAGGGACAGCACAGGAGAGGAAGACCCTATCTAGATTATATTCTTCAAATAATGCAACAATTTCATCCTCCTTTTCCAGACTCTTTACCCCCTAAGCTTCCTGTCTTATCTTTTCAAGTCTCAAGCAACACTTTTTCCCCTTCTTTTTTTTAAAAAATGAAACATTAGGGCTTGTAAAAACAGATTGTTTGTCCCCAGCCCAGAGTCTCTGGGGTCTGAGAATGTATGTGTCTCAGTTTCTCAGGTGATGCTTATGCGGCAGGTCTCCAGAGCGTACCCCAAGAACCACTCAGGAAGTAGACTAGAAAAGGGGAGAGATGCTTCAGCATCTGCTGAGTTGCAGAGTGAAGTGATGTCTTACTGTGAGTCATGGTCAGAGGGGTAACTTACACTGAGGGGACAGGCTTAAAGAGGACTCTTCTAAGACCACACAGCAGAGCTGGACTCAAATCTAGACCTGTGTTCCCAGGGTGCTGGTGGCTTGCTCAGCCTGTCATCCCACAGCAGGGTCCTGGTCCCCGTCTCATCCGACCTCTTCCTTCTCCAGGACCAGGTCTCCAAGGACAAAGCCCTCCAGAGCATGGCGTCCATGTCCTCTGCCCAGATTGTCTCGGCCAGCGTCCTGCAGAACAAGTTCAGCCCGCCCTCCCCTCTGCCCCAGGCCGTCTTCTCCTCTTCCTCACGGGTACAGGCGCCCTGGGAGTTGGGACCAGGGTGGACTGTGTCTGAAGGGCTGGGCTCCGGTGTGGGGCATGTACACTGAGAGGTCCCTTGACTTTGTCTTGTCTGCAGTTCTGGAGCAGTCCCCCTCTCCTGGGACAGCAGCCTGGACCCTCTCAGGAGTGAGTACTGTGCCCTGGACTTCCCAAATTCTCCACTTCCTCCTGGGATTTACCTCCAAATGGAACCCAGCAACATCTGAGCAAAATTTTAATTCAAAATTAGGGGCCCGGAGCATGCTGGTAAAAAAACTCTTCCTTCTGTCTACGTATTCGCGTGTTTGTTCATTTACCTACCCACTCATCCCACTTATCATCTGTCCCTTTGTTTGTTTTCCCATAGTTAATCTCTGAGTCAATCTACCAGTTGAGTTAGGTAGTCGACTATGTCCATACTCAGTTTCTTCCATCCTAAAACAACTTTCATCGTAAGACACACCCTCTGAAAGTTTAATGAGCAGTGTTTCGGGATGGAGCTGGGGCTGGGTGGGGTTGAAAGGCTACATTCAGTGTTCACATCAATGGTGAGTTGTAGAGAGATTTCATAAATGCTTAAAAGGTGAAGAAAGCAAGAAGTTGTAAGTTAGCTCAGCAGCGGGCCTTTCGAGCGTCATCGGAAAGGCTCAGGGGCTTTCTCTTGGTGTCTGGGTGAGTTGCTGGGCCAGGAGGAAGCGACTAACCAGGCTGTGCTCTTGTTTGCAGCATCAAGCCGTTTGCACAGCCAGCCTACCCCATCCAGCCACCCCTGCCGTCGACGCTCAGCAGTGAGTTCCCCACACAAGGCCACCACTGCCACCTCTCTCCCTTGGCACCTGCACTCAGGAGAGCTGGGGACCAGCTGTGTGTGTGTGTGTGTGTGTGTGTGTGTGTGTAAGGGAGAGAGGGAGGGAGAGTTGAGTATTATCTAAAAGCAGTGGTAGTAGGCCTGAAATAGTCCCTTTCACAATGTTACTTCTCGAACTCTAGTATAAAATTACATAGCCAGCACATAGTTATAAGCTTACTCGCCAAAAACAATTACTTTTTTTATAGATATGTATAGATACACACATGTATATACATACAAACGTATATGTGTGTATATATATATGTATATATGGAGAGACAACAAGGCGGGACAGCACAGGAGAGAAAGACCCAGGATGAGATGGCTTGACTCAGTGACTAGAAGAATAAGATTAGGTCTATTGGAGACAATGCGATTGGCACAGGAATGGGCAGAGTTCAGAGCTAATGTACTTAGGGCCACTATGAGTCACAGACACCTCAACAGCACATAACAACTTATATGTACACACACATTCATAGAGAAAACTCCCTAAAGAAAATACATCGTAACTTACTTAACAAAGCTCCACTCAGTCCAGACACTGGCATTCTGGGCAATTTTTCTTCTTCCCTTTTTCAATTCCCTGTGTTTGCTTCTTGAGCACCTATCAATAGTGAAGTAAGGAGAAATAGCTGATATGAACTACCAGGGCCACCAAATATGTGTATGTGGACAGTACACGATACAAGGGTACCTGGGCCAGGGTACCAATATGTAGACAGTACTTGATGCAAGGGTCCCTGGGCCAGGGCATTACTGAGAGTGTTCCTGTCCAAAGTTTCCCTTTTCCATGTACACAGAGGCTCTGTACCAGCTAGAGCTGAGCCTTCTGTGACCACACACACTCACCCTCCAGGTTACGAGCCCATGGCCCCACTGCCCCCAGCTGCTGCCTCTGTACCTGTGTGGCAAGATCGCACCATCGCCTCCTCCCGGCTCCGACTCCTCGAGTACTCGGCCTTCATGGAGGTGCAGCGAGACCCTGACACGGTAAAGTGTTTGGAGTGGGAATTGTAGTTTATACCATGCGCACACTCGGCCATGGTGACCTGTGGCCACAACTGGCTAAAGATCGCAATCCCTCAGTGTCCAGGGAGTTGGGGGTCTGGCTTGTTCAGGGAGTCCGAGGAATTTCTCCTGGTGCAGCGTTCCTTGGGCCTGCACCCTCCATGCTCTCCTGACCCTGTCCCGGGCCCTCCCCACAGTACAGCAAACACCTGTTTGTGCACATTGGCCAGACAAACCCCGCCTACTCTGACCCGCCCCTGGAGGCGGTGGATGTGCGCCAGATCTACGATAAGTTTCCTGAGAAGAAAGGTGGGCTGAAGGAGCTCTATGAGAAGGGGCCCCCGAATGCCTTCTTTCTCGTCAAGTTCTGGGTAAGCACACTGATCCTGCTCAGCTCCTAACACCCGCTCCCCACAATGTACAGTGCCCTGTGCCCGCCCACTGACCCCTGGCCAGCCCTGTAGGCTGTGGGATGTGGGCAGAGCATCCACAGAGAGATGGATGCCGGGAGGACGCCGATGAGGCGTGGTGGGACACTTGCCAGCATGTGACACCTCCCTGCTCCACCTCCAGGCCGACCTCAACAGCACCATCCAGGAGGGCCCAGGCGCCTTCTACGGGGTCAGCTCCCAGTACAGCTCGGCCGATAGTATGACCATAAGCGTCTCTACCAAGGTGTGCTCCTTTGGCAAGCAGGTGGTGGAGAAAGTGGAGGTAAGTGAGGGGCCGGGTGGCATAAAGGGACTGGGAGTAGGGGCACTCGGTTCATACTTTCCTTGTGGGTCTCTGTAGACTGAGTACGCCCGGCTGGAGAATGGGCGCTTCGTGTACCGCATCCACCGCTCCCCCATGTGTGAGTACATGATCAACTTCATCCACAAGCTGAAACACCTGCCGGAGAAATACATGATGAACAGTGTGCTGGAGAACTTCACCATCCTTCAGGTCAGAGGGGTGATGGGCTATGGAAATGCCACAGACCAGGGGCTTCCCAGGGTGAATGGCCAGACCCATGGCTTAGGTGACAAGAGGAGACCCAGGAAGGAAAAGGGCCTTCTGTACCCCTCTCCCCTTTGACTCTGTTCTTCTTGACACCTGCACTCTTTCTACCTGCTCCCTAGGTGGTCACGAGCCGGGACTCCCAGGAGACCCTGCTTGTCATTGCTTTTGTCTTCGAAGTCTCCACCAGCGAGCACGGGGCCCAGCATCATGTCTACAAGCTTGTCAAAGACTAGGGTGCCTCTGCTGCCTGCCCATCAGGATCCAAGATGAGCATCTTTTCCACACACCCCTGCCTGGAACCCCTGGGGGGTCCAGGATTAAGGATCTATCTGCCTGCCAGGCCCCAGGCCCAGGAGCCAGGAGCCCCCCCACCTGTCCCCTCTACAACACTCCCTGCCACTGTTCTGTGCTTTAATTGTGGGAGAAGCCAGGAGGGCTCTACGCCTGCCTGGGACAGTGAACCGCCAGCCTCCAGCTCTTCCCCACCTCAGATGACCTCCAAAGAGGCAGAACGGGAGGCCACCTTCTGGTCCCCAGGGGAGTGTGAAGGATAGATGAGGTAGAATGGAGGCAGAGGGAGTCGGGGTGAAGAACCTCAGGAAGGAGCATCCAGTTGGGGTTAACTTGAGAAGAGAAGGGCCCACACTCCCTTTGCACTTGCCATGTGCTGGGTCCCGCACATAGCTCGTGCCCGCTCCCCCTTCAACTCTGCAAAACGAGCATCAGGTTTCCATGTTTCAGATGAGATATGGGACTGAGAGATGTTGAACGATCCCCAGGTTTGGCGAGCAGAGTTTGCATTGTGATCTTGGGGTGCCTGTCCCCAGATCCCTGGTTAACCTACCTCCCTGGAGCAGGAGCTGGCCATGGAGAACCGGAAGAGGCCTGCGCCAGTGGGTCAGGGCAGACGGTAACTCAGACAAGAGGCTCCTGGGAGGGCCAGAACAGAGCACTTCTTCCCAGCAGCCCCCAGGACAAGAGAGCAGGGGCTTGCAGGCAGGTAGAGGGGAGTCCTGAAGACACAAGATACCCGCTTATCAGCCCAGAGCCAACCAGGGGCCACAGGAGCAACTGACAACCTCTCCAAGTGCCCTGGCCCAGATTAGAAGCCAAGACCCCAGCAGTGTCCTATAAGAGGAAGGCTGCAGGACTGGGCTAGGCCAGGGGTCTGGTGGGGACGCCACCTCTGGTTAAACCAGCCACCTTGGCATAAGGACTAGCAGAAGACTTTGTTATTCTCTCTTGCCCTAGTTTTGGGTTTGGTGACCATATGATAGGTACACTCGTTTCCTACCCCCTGGCCCACTCTTTTGCCTGGAACAGCCTCTCCCAAGCCTCTGTTCTGGGACTGAAGGTCAACCCTTCTCCTGCTGCCTGTTCCTAACATGCAGGCCCTTCAGAGCTGGCTTATGTCTAACAGCCATCTGTGGGTGGTACCGGCCCCTAGGCACCAGTGAGCTCTGGGTATTTATGAGTTTCATATGAAGTACTGTGCCCCTTCCTTCCCTCCTGCCCCACCCGCCCCTGAGCTTCTTGAAGGCCCTCACATTTGCATATCGCTCAGGCCACCTCCAAACCCAACCTAGGTTTTATAATAATGTATATTATATATATATATATATTTTTTTGTGTATTTTTTAAATCCAGCTGTGATGGGTTGTATCATAAATGTGGCGCAGGGCTGGGGCAGGGGCCCTCCAGGCCCAGTTCCTGCTCAAAAGAGAAAAGGAAAAAGAAAAAAAAAGATTAAAGTTATTTGTTTGTGGGTCAATCAAGTAACAAGCCTCCTGCTAAACTGGGCTAAAACCACTTCAGATTCCTCCTGGAAGTGGTGGGGTGGCGTCGGGAGAGCTGGGTGCATCTGTGTTCTGGTATGTCATCCCCCTTCTTGCTCACCCTATCTCTTAAGGGGGACAGGGTCAAGCACCCACACTCAAAATAGCTGTCACTTGAAGACCCCATAAAAGTTTTACCAACTCCAGTGCATTTTCACTTCCCATTACAAGTGCTAGGACTTGTGATTGCCTAGTGGGGAAAAGGTTGCAGCCCAAAGGCAGGTGGTTCAGTGGCTTCTCAGGAGAGAGGTGGACATTGTTCTCCCATGAAATGTGCGGTCTCGGAATGGACCTGGAGCCAACCCTCTATCTAGCAGGTTCTCAGAGAGCATTCAGTCTGAATGAGATAGTAAATACAGGTATAAATTAATCAGTGAGTTCAAAGAAAGGTTATTTGGGGTTTGGATTTATTCAGATGTTGCCCTTTAATAACCAACAATAGGCCCTTGGAGCGAGTCACCAGGTCTCTGAGGCCCACTTCCTCATCTGGTAGGGAAAGTTTTTATGGGTTATTGAGAGAAATGATGTTTATAAAAATCCCCTTCTGTAAATTTATACGTCCAGCAAGCTTAATCTCTCCCCTTGTTGAAGAACTTAAAATCAAAGTGCCAGTTGTGAGAAAGTTTTATAACTTTGAAAGGGGGAAGAAATGGAAATTATTTAGACACAGTACTTAAAAAGCTCCAAAATGTCTCCCACCCCATTCTACCCATCGTGAACATCACTAGGCCCAGCACTGGCCCACACTCTACTTTGCATGAACCCATTAAGTGATGTGACATGCCCACGGTCACGTGGCTTCTGAGATGGGAGCTGACCCACACACTTCACAGACCAAGGCGTGGCAGCATCTATTGATTATCATCGTCCTCATCTACATTAATGCCATCCTACATTAATGGCTATTGAATAGAAGCAAGACTCGAACCTGCTCATCAAAAAAACCAAGCCTATTACAGTGCAGTAGATGCCAACTCACAGCAATATATGGATGCTACTACAGGACAGAGTACGTGGGTTCCACGACTAAATCTGAATGGGAGCTTTTTCACCACAGAGCCGCTAGTGGATTCAAACCCACAACTTTTCACGTATCTCTGGCTAATCCACTGCACTATCAGGACTCCTAGCCTCCTATCCACCCTTGAAAGCCTGCTCCCCAACCCTGAGCCACTGTGTGCTCACACAGCCAGGACTGTGGAGGCTCCAGGAGTGTTCCCCAAGATCCTCCGTGGACAAAGGGATCTACCTTTTCCTTGCAGTTAAATGGGGAATTGATAAGTCTTGCTAACTAATCTCTGGATTGAGGGGCTGAGACCTGAGGGGCTGTGTCTGCCATACTGAGAACAGGAATGCGGAATGAGAGGAGCTTCTAGAGCAATGTCTACAAATGCAGATGCATAATTTGATTTGGCAAAATAGGATTCAGGCCATGGGCTTTTCAATCATTTGCTATCCATCTGAGAGCTGGACAATGACTAAAGATGACAGCAGAAGAATCAATGCCTTTGAGCTGTGGTGTTGGAGAAGAGTACTGACTATCCCATGGATTGCCAAAAGAACAAACAGATGTGTCTTGGAGAAGGTGCAGCCAGAGTGCTCCTTGGAGGCAAAGATGACAAAACTTTGTTTCACATACTTTGGGTATGTTGCTAGGAGAGAGGCGGTTTCTTGGAAAAGGGACATCATGCTTGGAAAGGTGGAGGGCAAGTGAAAGGGGACGATCCTCAACCAGATGGATTGACAAAAGAGACTGCAGCAATGAGCTCAAGTGTGTCAGAGATGATCAGGACAGGACAGGGTTCCGGTCTGTTCATAGGATCTTGATGAGCTATTCTTGATTCGATGGCACCTAACAAGTGTTAGGTTTGAAGGAGTCCTGATGGCCTAGTACATAAGGAGGTGCACTGCCAATCCAAAGGCAGGCAGTTTGAATCCACCAGCTACTCTGCAGGAGAAAGATGGACAATCTCCTGTGCATTTTACAGCCTTTGAAAATCCACTAGAGGGTCAGTTATGAGTCCATTTGGCCTTGATGGCACATCAACAGTTAAATTCAAGGGAGTTCTGGCGGCATAGCCAGAACTGCAGCCAGTCACTGAGTGTTGCTGGTCAATCGAGTTCACCAGCAGCTTCTAGGGAGAAAGATGAACAATCTTGTCCAGTGTGATCTGTAGCCTTGGAAACCCTCTGAAGGGTCCCTACGAGTTAGAATTGACCCCAACCAATGGCAGTGAGTAAAATTTGAATTTTTAGATAAACAATAATATTTTCGTGAAAATATGTCCTATCAAACACTGAGAAGAAAAAAAGGTTTATCTGAAATTCAGATTTAACTGAATGGGCTATATTTTTATTTGCTAAGTCTGGAGACTGCTCTAGAGTCCTTTCAGCCCCAGCTGCGATTGACTCATTCAGCCAGTCAGTGGCAGCAGCAGGATTTGAACCAGCTCTCCCTGACTCTGAGCCCGTGCACTTGGTTATAAACCAATTGCTTTAAAATCTGTTTCAGCTGGTGACACCATGTGTGTCAGAGTGCCCTGCAGGGTCCCCCCTGGCTCATTTTTGGACGTAGATCCCCATGCTTTTTATATGAATCTCCAAGTTTCCAGGTCTAAGTAGTGTGTTCACTGTAGACTCCTGGGCGCCTGGCGATACTGCACACCTTGCCTGTTGTGTTTGTACTAGGCTTTAGGCTGCATTCTGTCCCTCCTATTATTTCATCTCAGCAATCCCAGAGAGGTGGGATTTAATCCAGATTTCCCAGCCAAGAAGCAGGATCACTGACTTTGGAAAAGACTCTTGTGAGTGCTTGGGAGTCCTTGAGTGTGGTGAATGGGTAAGTACTCAACTACTAGCCAAAAGGCTGGTCCAGACGTGGCCCAAAGAAAGGTCTTTTCTCCTTATCTCTTTTTAAGGAGAAAAATCCATTCCTTTGTGGATGTAACTTTCTAATAAATCGATCATCATGAGCTGTGGTGCTGGAGAAGAGTGTTGAATATGCCATGGGCTGCTAGGAGAACAGGTTTGTCCTGGTGAACCAGGCTGCTCCTTGGAGGCATGGATTCTGAAGCTTCATTTGACATCCTTTGGACATGTTGCAAGGAGGGATCAGTCCTTGGGAGAGGGACGTCATGCTTGGGAGGGTAGAAGGACAGCGTAAGAGTGAAGACCCTCGATGAGATAGATTGACTCAGTGACTAGGGCAGAGGTTGTGAGACTGGCTCAGGATAGAGCAGGGTTCAGAGCTAGTTGCAAGCAACTTGATGGCACATAACAACAATCATTACTATTTACCCTAAAAAAACCAAACACCCAAACAAACAAAAAACCCAAACAAACAACACAGGTACCTCAGGAGAAGGGCTGGCTAATCTGCTTCTGACAGGTCACATCCT